TGAAAGAAAAATAAAGGGAAAGGGATTTTCCCATTTAGACGCTGGACAATGTTTCCCACTACTCCTTTTTCACCGAAATTACCCCCATCTCTCTTCATTAGTCACGTTTTGCAGACAGGCACGTAGAAGGATCTGGCTGTGATAATGGTTGATGATCTGGACGCTTGGTTGAACTGATTGTAAGGCACCCTGAGGCCTATACCGTACTATACTCCGTGAGTAAAAAGCCACGTGTCCTATCTCCAGGGTTGCTTCCCAGAATCTAGACGACTTATTTGCAACCTGGCCTAAAGGCTCACAGAGTCTTTGTGCCACAGCGGTTGAAAAAGGACTCAAACTTTCGAAAGAGGGTGCAGAGATGAACCACACGGAACCTTGCAAGGATGTGGCGAAGACCAAACAAGGAGCGGCTGTGAAAGCCTGACACTCACCCTTACACCTTTGGTGACCGAGGGAAAAGTTATGACTTTCGAGTCGCCCGGACGGAGGAATACTGCCTAGAGATTGCTGGGATGACCCTCTTGGAAACACAAATAGGACCACATATCAAAAAGTGTGCGATCACATTTCTTTCTCCTCGCAGTCTCCGGCTGCTGGAATGAGGGGATATACACCTCTGTGTCTGCCGATAGCTTCAACAAAAGGCTGGGTGCTTACGCGGGGGCACATAAGTTGGGCTTATTTAGTTGGGATAAGGATTAGACCGATATATTTGACCGGTATCACATGAGTCCGACACTTCCTGGTGCCTACATATCGATTCTCTTCCATCGCCAGCATCTTTATTGGCACGATTCAACCTTGCAGTTTTCTCTTAGACATGTTGCTTCCACACTGCCGTCACATTATTAACTTTCCTATTATCTCTATCTCGATCATCCGAAACAAAATCTTCTAAGATCCTTTCTCCTTCTCATTCTGGAGTTCATCCTAGTTTGTTTAAGTTCTGCATGTCACTCTTTCCTTTTGATTCTTATTTAAGCTGGTTTAGACATCGTCGTTTCCCCCTCTCACTGGTGCAGCTTTTTCTGTTTCCTTCGGTTATCTACTAAATCTCCTTGTTTTGATCTACGAGCGGTGACTCAATATCTGGGCAAGTTTCAATAAAAACTATACGAGATTGTGCCAAAGTGCTAAAAGTACCCACATTCAAACTGTTTACGGACTACTTAGACCTAAGCCGACTCCCAAAATAATGAAAATGAACTATCCTTTCACAGATCTGCATAAAACCCACGTAACTGCCGAGTGGTAGCGTTACTACTTTTACTGTCCAAAGCAATGAGGAACCTAGTTCCACAATTGTGGTGACCACTAGGGTTGACTGGATTAATAGGTAGGACAACATGGAACTAGTTCACGCTATCTTTTTGAACCCAGCCGAAGCTCCCGATAGAGTCCCACACCAAATCAACCCAGCTTAACTTGAGAAAGTGGATTCCACTGAACCACTCGAAGCACGGCCTAGAGTACACCTAGAAGACAGAGAATTCTGTACTTAAGTAAATAGAATTCGGTCAGCCTTCAGGAGTTTCTCGAGGGGTGGTCCTTGGATCGCTTCCGTTTCTACCATTCATGAGTGGCCCCCATCAAAATCCCCCCGTTTAATATCCCATTTGCTAGCGACATCAAAACGTGGAAGACAGTAGGTAAGAAGGATATTCCAACTCTACCTGCTGCAGCTAGAATCATGGACAGCTGAAAGTGGTTTAAGCCTCAGTCTGGAAGAGTGGAAGGTAGAAGCGAGGAAAGCTATCTACGCCCTCCGCATTCGTGCAGTAACCAAGGTATCCATGGAGGAAGTAGGACGAAACTTCTCGGACGTACAAGATGCTGATGCCAACTATAAGAAGACAGAGATAAAGGTTAACAACGTCAAACACTTTCTATGGAGGCAACCTGGAGCCCTAACCCCTGTATTATTCACCTTAATATTTGGGATATGTAATATACCGGACTTCGAAAGGCGCTAACGCCCTCGAGAGGGTACAGGGAGGTGTAACAAAGTCACTTGTGTAACTAACAGCTAAAATACGTTCACAATGCCATATGCAACTAGTCTTACTCATCTTAAACTATCGAAGAAAAAGAGGAGGCCCAATAACGGCCTACCAAGTCATCCATCAAGTGAGCCACCCCAACAAGACGAGGTTATCGGTAATTGACTAGCAGTAACGTGGAGACCCCGCCACAGGTGTAAGACGAGAGTCAGATTCAGCCTCTTCCTTCACTGCATGTGTGCGCTGTGAAACGCTGCCGATACAAGTATCCGCAGTCACAAGCATTTGAGCTCAAATGGCCCTCCACTAAAATACATCGGTAGTAATTAAGAGTATACTAGTCCACCCCTGGGTGAACCAATCCCAGCATCTATATTATGGAACAAACCGCATCCTGGATTCCACTGTTAGCCACTGTCCATCATTACAAAACCATCTAACTATTGCCACTGGAAGCAATAATTTCCCACTGACACTATCCACTCATCCTATTTCTCTCACAACGCTTTGAATAACGTTTAGTGCCCACTCAGAGGTGCTTATAAACACGGAAATTGCAAAAATTGGCTGATCTTACCAGAAGTTCTGTTGCCCCTCCAAATGAGCCAGCCTACAATTTAAAGAAAGAATACCTTCAAACAGGTTATCGGGGCTTCCCAAGCTACAAACGGGTGGTCTGTGGCGACTTCTGTGATCACCGATAGAGCATAACCGAACGGAAGGAACCGATCCACAACAGCTACGAGTGAAGGTTGAGAAACAAGTTTCCTTCTACCTTCAATATTTATGTTCAGTTTCTCATAAACCTAGCTGACACCTAACCACCGAGTGTGTTTGGCTCATCCACGGATGCAGAGGGACATAGGCCTACAGCGATGGAACCCATCGAAGAAGTGAAACCAGTTTGAGAGACCTTGAAGCAAGTGGGGGGAATCAAGTGGATTGAATAGGTTCGTAATACGGGGATTAGATATTTTGTGTAAGCCTATGAAACAGATACTCGGTATTAAATATTCTGTCTGTCATCTTGAAAGCAGGATAGAGGCAGAACCCGAAGTGCTATCGACCAATAGCACTTCTACCACTGCTGTCCAAAGCAGTGGAGACCCTATTAAACTACCACCCAGGACTTTCTGGCAGCCAGTGACAACTGGGGGGCATGCTGGGACCTCCAAGTTCCTTTTCATTTGATTTTCCTGGATTTCCCTAATGCTTTTGACAGTCGCACACACCATTCTCATTCACAAGATATCAGGGTTGGGTATCAACAGCCAAGTGGTCTCTTGGCTGAAGGGCAGTTCGGAAGGCAGAGAATTCTGCACAGAAGTCAGCAGAGTTTACCCGGTTTAGGGGACATCATCACCCCTTGTATGACGAAGAGCGATTCTCGGTCCACTGCTATTCCTTCCCTTCGTGAGCAACCTTCTATAGAATCTCAGCTCTCTGACAGCCGTGACATCCGAAGCAAAATCAAGCGCAGTGCAAGGTGATATCAGATTGCCCAAAAGTGGGTGGGTAATAACGGACTAGCATTTAGCCTGGATAGGTGCCGGAACATGTTTTTTCCCAACCCTGACCGCCAGAAGGTACCCTACTCTCCCAGTAGAACGTAGCTTTCTCACACCACCATGGAGAAAGACCCAAGAGTGATGCTGACTGAAAAGCCGGACACCCACCCTGATCGTTCAGGAAGTGCTTCCTTAGCCCACTCAGTACTGGGCTCCATTCGCAGGTGACCAGGCGCCCTCTGGAACTCTTGCTGAAGCTGCACAACGTCGCCGCACCACATCTGAAAAGAGGTTTGATCTTCCTGGGGAGGGTCCAGAGGTGAGAAACAAAGGTTGCTGTGAAGATGAGGCAAAAACCTCATGAAGATAGGCTGAAAGACCTTGGGGGTTACCCTTTTGGCCACTATAAGTGGTGACTTGACAACGGCTTTTAAATACCAGGTGATCCAAGTCATTCGAACAGTAGAATTTGCCGAATGGTCATAGTGGGAATACTCGTGGTAACCCGAGGGGATCGGTCGCTAAAGGACACAGTCCCGTGTGCGTTCATACTACTTCTCTCGGCGAGTTTGCGACATCTGGGCTCACTGCCTGCCGAGATTGCTACTGCTCCACCTATTGACAGCTTCAAGAAGTGGTTGGACAGCTACGCAGCGATGCGTGGGTTGCACTAATTCAGCTGAGACACAGACTGGGTTTATATGACCCACAAACTCCCCATAGATCTACTCAACCAACCCTATACTGAATCATTTATACCGTCACCATCCTCGCGAATCTGACTCAATCTTATACTTCCCTGTGGACACCCCCTTCAGTTACCCTCCCCTACTAATGGTGTCACCCTATTTATTCCTATAACTCACCTTATAATTTTACTTGCCGCTCCCTTCCCTCCGAATGTGATCTTGTGCCACTTATTAAAGTTGTCCCTATCGCTGATCTCCCATGAATCTACCTAGGTTTCCTGTTCCCTTCCTTTCTGCTTTCTCCAATTTTACCGATGCTTGCTTCCTTTCCCTTGCGCTCCCTCTCCATTGATTTCCCTGGACATTGTTCGATCTTCTTTTTACAACCGGCTTGGTGGACTGTCTGATGGCATGACACTGGAGTAACCCATCTGCACCACAGCCCCTGGTAAAACCATATATTCCCTACAAATTTAATAAATACCTAACCGCCCACTAGGCTAATCAGAGCTATGGCAGGCTAGTGGGTAGACCCACTGCGCTGGATTCCACCAAAGAACTGAAGCCGTTCCACAAGGCCTGGAAATGAGCGTAAAGAAACCGACTCGTTTGCACTACCTCATAAAAAGATATTGTATCGTCCATCTTTTTCCCTTTAATGGTTATGCGAATTGGTTAATAAATGGAGGAACCCGTGGTTCATTAGCTTTAGATGCAAAAGCTAGCTGAACGGAAGCATCCTCTTTTTCATTCCCGTTATTTGAAACCACGCGCTTGTTATACTGCTGTATTAGCAGAAATACATAAACTGCGCGTCACTTGGTTCCTGGAAAATAATGTCGGGCAATGTCGGGATGGAGCAGCTTATCCCTTTGGTCAATAGGCTCCAAGATGCATTTTCCTCCTTGGGAGTTCCACTTAGTTTGGATTTACCGCAAATTGCTGTTGTTGGAAGCCAGAGCGCAGGAAAAAGCAGCGTTTTGGAGAATTTTGTTGGTCGGTAAGCAGTAATAAAATTCTGTTCTCACATTTTATGTTAGAGACTTCCTTCCCCGGGGTAGTGGCATTGTCACTCGTCGGCCTTTAGTGCTGCAGTTGATTAACTCTCGAAATGGTAATGTGTGCTTTCCATCTCTATTAACATTAATAGAATACGCTGAATTTTTGCATTGCAAAAACAAACAGTTTACGGATTTTGATGAAGTTAGAAAAGAAATAGAAGCGGAAACAGATAGGTTGACTGGAAGTAACAAAGGGATATCCAGCAATCCCATTAACTTACGTGTTTATTCTCCTAATGGTAAGCCTAATATTGTTTTCTGTTGTAGTTCCCTAAAGACTACTTAAAAGTGGTTTTGTTTATTGTAAATTTACCTATTTTTCTTGCAAGGCGTCTTCCGTTGTTCTTCCCACTAGAGACTTTACGATGAATGTCTTCTTGCTCACGAAACCTGTTTTAAGCAAACAGTTCAAATGACCGGATTAAATGGGACGGTTCCTTTTTGGTTTGCATTTCAGGTTTTTCACCCTAAAACCTGGTGCCATTTATTAATTTATGTTGCAGATTTAGTTCGGGTTGAGTTTAGTCACAGTTGTGCGCGAAAGGTTGTTTAGTTTGCAGTGTTGTTTTGTTGTGATGCACCCCAATAATGAGTCGAATTGAATCATTTTCTGTTATGCCACTAACTTCCATACTGTTACTAACTTGCACATTTCATTACGAGGTATTGCAGTCAGGTCTTGCATAAATAGTGAGTGGTGTTTTCCGGGAGTTACTGAAGTTTACCAGTTTTACCCGAAATGTAGAGACGGGACACAAACTTTCAGATTATCTCTTTGCACTAATGAAGTTCTCGTGCAATGAGATAGTTGGTCAGACTGTGAAAATGTTATCTGAATTCAGGTATACCAGAAGTGGCTTGAAGAATTGCTGATTAGAGGCTTTTAACATTCGGTTACGTCATAAGACAAATATATCAGCAGTACACTGCGATTCCTCATAAGTGATTTGTTACTTTGCAGACAGTTCTCTTTGCGTGAATAACCGCTTTATTTCATGAAAGCCCCACTTTTGGACAAATTTTCAATACTTTTATTACGTTCACACAGTGCTTCGTCTTGTTATTTTTCATACTCAAACCATCTGTCGCAGTTTAGGCTGTTCCATATTTTTTTATGACCACACTACTCTCATTATCTCTCTTCCCATATTACAAAATTAGTGGTTTACAAAGTCTACATTTTGGGAGGTGTTAAATAGTTGCATGATAATGGATAAAAACGCTTACTTTTAAAACTGACTGAGATACGATATATATATATATATATATATATATATATATATATATATATATATATATATATAGTGCCGTAAAAATCCAGTTATTCCATGACGTCGCCATCTTTGTGTTCACACTCGTCGCATGAAGGATTTTTTGACACTTCAACAAACAAGTATGTAGTTGTGGTTGTTAGTATTAATTCCCTAAGTATAAAGTGCTTATCTTAGTGAGTTTACTACCATATTTTAAGTTTACATGAGTGGGTTTTGCAGTCTATGAGGCCCTGAAACCATGATCTGATGGGCGAGCTGGCGTTCTTGCTTAAGTCGTTTATGTTTAAATTTATATCTGCTTGTAGTTTAGGATAGCGGCTGAATAGCATGTGATGCAAAAACGTCAATGTTACAATTTGAGCCGATGCACCTATGTGCCAGGTTCGACATTGATTTTGTCAGCCAACGCGTAGTGAAAACGTAGTAGAGAAGAAAATCTGTTTTTTATGCGTTGGCGAGACGACTGAAAAGATGCACAAAATACTTCAAGGAACACTTTAACTGGTCCCTAGCTACTACTCTGTCGTCAACTATCTAACCGTATCCTGAATGTGACACTAAGGTAGGCCATTTAACACTTGCAGGAACTGCAAAAGCTGTAAGTAACTGTGGAAGGGCATCAGGCTTAGATGGGATTGCGCCAGAGGTATTTAAGAAGTGGTCTGGAGTTATTGAGTATATTAACAAGTGTTAGCTAGCTTGCGGAAATCAATCAAGATCCCTTCCGACTAGTCCCAATCACTGGTTATACTACTTTAAACCTTCTTGTGTTAATTACAGGGTAACCAGTCTGATTAACAGTCTAAGATCCTAGGTTCTGGAATCATTGGGCGTCCAATTCGAAGCTCGGAAACACTAAACCCGATAAATTCAGGCAGGTTTCGGATTTTGTCCTAGGTACATGGGCCAGATATTCACCTTCTGCCAAGTTCTGGAACACAGGGACATTAACTTGTACATGACACTAGCTGTATTTCTTGATCTGAAGACTACGTCTGACCCTCTGAATATAAATTTCGTATGAAAATATCTTTCATTGAAGCGGGTGCCGGCGATTATAACACTTTGTTAAAGGAGCTGTATTAAAATGCATCCTGCTATTAGAGCCTACAGTTTAGGTTTAGGGCCTCTTTTTCATCACTTACCCTAAGCTAGATCAACTTTGTCACGAGAGACTCCTCAGTAGACATAGAGAACGTAGTCCTGTTAGGTGAATACGTTGACCAGTTGAAATCTTCTGAACATTTTGAGTGGCATTTTGAGGATGTTTGAGATGTGTTTTTCACCACCTTAATGCAGTTTGTTGCTGCATAACTGATCTCCACTGACACCTTGTTTAACGATAGGGAGTGAAGTGGTTGAGTGCGCTGACCATTTCATCTACTTGGGAAGTCGGGTCAGTGAATACAATTTTCGCCATCTGTGGTGTTACTATGATATCTGGTCACCTAATAAGGGTCGAGTTTACTACTCTGTTCGACTGTATGACTGTGAAACATAGGCATTTAAGTTAGAAGACACGAGAGAGCTTTAGCTCTTCAATCACCGTCACCTTCGTAGCGTAGGCCATGTGTTATGTTATCACCAAGCCAGTAATGCCAAAGTTAGACGTAGAGTTTTAGTAAAAGAGATAAGTCAAGTGAGAGGTTATGAACCTTTATTGACTTAGGTGGCTGAGATATTGTTAAGTGTTTCTAGTCACAGTCTGCCTGTTAGCTGAAGTTGGTTCAAACTGGAAAAGCCTAAACAGCAACCAGACTAAAACATGGCATCAACCCACCATTCCACTTAAAAACTCATAAAACCTCTCGAATATTGGAGCTAAATGCTACATTCAGGGCATGAAATGTGGTAAGTTTCAGGCGCTGATATGTCTTTGTTCCAGAATATCTCGAAGCGTAAAAATCTGATGAGTGAATTCTTGTTCATTTTTGAAATCTGCTTGGTTTTCTCGCGTTTATTATTCTAGAGCTTCGGCTGGAGGTTAAATTATTATAACCACCTGGGTCTTATGTGCTAGTAGTAAGTAGGGGATTCCTCTTCCTTCTCATAAGGCGGAATGATTCCATTGTTTCACTTTTGATTTCCACATGCTAAATAACACACCTATGTCCAAGTAATTTCTAGATGTTGCTCTTTGAGGCAAACCACCGGGTCATGTAAGCTTATCCATTTTCAAGTTTTAACCAACTTTCTCAATTCCGGCGAGAACTGAACTGTCTACATCCTATGTGGACTAGTGCTGGGTGATGGTCAACCGAAGCATTGATGTTTCTTTTTTAAATTGTTCTTTAGTGTTCCATCTGAGGTTCCAGCTAATTGTTATAAGACGTCACCAATAATCTGTGTTTCTCGATGTTATTCCACCAGTTATTCGTTAGTTTGTTCATTAAGTCTAAGTGGCTGGCGATGTCCTCCATCTCTTTCACTCTCATAATCATCATCATCATCAATCATTGCTGGTAGTCGTTGCTAAAACTCTTAGCTTACTTTCAAGATACTTTGATTTATTATTGGTAATGACCAGAATGTCTCTCCGTTTCGATTTGTGTAGGTGAAATTGCAGGGGTTCTCTGTTGTTTTTTTTATTAACCTTTGATAGGAGTTTATTAACTGTCTTTTACACTTCATGCTTTAAACTGAATATTACGCTGGATTAAAGAGTGAGAATTGCTTTCATTCGATAACAAGTGCCAATCAAAATTGATGTCTTCACTTCCAAGTTGAGCACAGAAACCTCGTGAGTTTCATATTTTCTGCATCCATTCATTTGCAGATATGTGTGTTTGGACACATATTATTAGAACTCAAGTAGACACACGACTTCGAGCAAAAGAACTACAGTTTCTATCAGTCTTTCCAAACGGTAGTCGTTTGCAATATGATATTTCTGAATTCATCTTTGTTGGCAAATAAGTGAAATGGTGTCTTCCATTTTAGTCTGTTTATTAGAAATATCATACAGTGAAACAGTAGCATTTACTGGATAACGTTTCGAACATTTATGTTTTATGCGTAACTGGTTTATAGCTTTTAGAAATTCTGCCCGATTAAATTCTACCTATTTTGTTTTTATTATCTCCCAGTCCTTAACTTAACATTGATCGATTTGCCTGGAATGACTAAAGTTCCTGTTGGTGACCAACCTCCAGATATCGAAATTCAAATTAGATCAATGATTATGGAGTTTATTACACAAGAGAACTGTTTGATTTTAGCAGTTTCTCCAGCAAATTCTGATTTAGCGAATTCAGATGCATTAAAGTTGTCTAAAGAAGTGGATCCGCAGGGTTTGCGAACAATTGGAGTGGTAACAAAATTGGATTTAATGGATCAAGGTACAGATGCTCGAGACATCTTAGAAAATCGTCTCCTACCACTAAGAAGAGGTTAGTTTGAAAAATATTTCTAGAATATCTTACTCTGTTAGTTACAATGTGACTTGCCCCTTAACTATTGCAAACCTGTGTAGCTCATCAGTATTTCTTACCTTCATAATACTGAAGAGGTGGTTAAACCTTGAGGGGGTAAACATTAATATTCCTTTGAACGGTTTTCTTTTATAGATCGGCTACAAGTTTCCTGTTAATTCTCAGTCATGAATTCGGGTTAGTTCTGTGTAGATACATATTTTGTGTTCAGAAATCGTCCGAGGGGGAGGCAATATTTGATCAGCAGAAATTTTTGTTTTTGCTTACGATACAAATGAAAGCTAATTATCTGGTGTATATTTGATTTAGTAATGTAATTGGGTTGTTAGATATATGTCGGTAATGCGCTATACATGGCGCTTATCTTACTGAATCTGTAATGGTCAAAATGATCAGTTCCGGAGACTGTGAGCAAGATTCTTATAGTGGTTGGATTCTCACTCTAAAATAAGTTTTTAGAATGCCTAATCTCTGCGTAATAATAGTTTATGTTACTTTTCTTGCTAGGATTGTATTACTATTTGAAGTGTTAGGATATTTTTTTTGTAGTGGGTAAATTACCTTGTCCATATACACTATATGGATTGATTGTCAGATTTCAAAACATGTTTAGGTATAAATTGTGTGATGGGAAGAGAATTTCCAGTTTCTTGGTGTTCAACTGATCCCAAGTGTTTGAACTGTCAAAATGGCAATCTGTTGTTTGAATGAAACGCGGCTTGTATTTCGGTAAACTTTTATTTTCATGGGAGTATGATGTAAATCAGGCAAAAATACGAACAAGAACTATACTTTAACCATGTCCACTATAGTTGTTCTTGTATTATATATTATCACACAGTGAAACAATATTATTCACTAGGTGACGTCGTTTCCAACATAATTTATTGCTCGTTATCATATCAAGGTGTTTGAGATTTATTGTGTGTTTGCTGAGATCCTTTTGACGTAACTAACCTAATATTCCCTCTAAGAAGTACACTCGAAATGATTGGAGACTACAGTTATATGCTGTAAGCATCTTTGCCTGTTATGAATAATCTTCATGAAAATTTGTGATATATTTGGTCAATTTTGTACCATGTAGTGGTAATAGTTATAACTAGTGCAGTCATGATATTGGGATTATGGCATTAACATTTGCTTTTGTATATTGAAATTGTCTGTAAACTTAAAATATGATGCTTTAACCTACTCGTCGAGTACACCGAATTGTTTCGTTCCCAGATGTCCATTATTGAGGAGCTGTGGCTTATTGGATTAGGGAAGTGACTTTCAACCAATGGGTCACAGGTTAGAACACCGCTTCATTCACCCAGGTTTGTGGATCCGGGTAGTACAATAGGCCTCACAAAATAGGTGTGGCTCACTGCCTACTGCACGAATGTGCATTAGTCTACTGAGTGCATTTAGATTCGATTTGACCTATTGTTAAAATTAAGATAGAAAATAAAGGAACATTCACAAAATTACTAACCACTTGGACAATCAATAATAGACTAAAAACATATGATATTTGTTGCATCTTTTATGATATTAATGCATTAATAGAAATGATCGGATTATCTGTAAATCGATTTGTCATAAATAAAATTAGCAAAAGAATTCAGTAGAGAAAATTTCCTTTTCAATTAATCCTTTATCACATTAATAATGCATTTGAGTGAATCGATATATAGGTAAAATAATATAGCAATGGAGTGATACTACTTATAATGCAGTAAGTGTTTTTTGGGAAAATAATCTTATTTCCCAATAGAAATGCTGTGTACTTTTGTAATGCAGGAAACTAATATATTTCTTTAAATTAATCGGAACTCATATTCTCTAGCAAATTCAAATCCATGGTGCTTAATTTTATGTTTAGAGATATTATCACTACTTAAACAGTAACTGATTCGCTATGAGACTGCATCGTGTTCTTCAACTGGGAAACAATATGAATCTTTTCACTCGTCTAAGTCTGTAGGTACGGGTATAAAATCCTCGGTTAGCTGTTGTAAACTTGCTGAACTTATAGGACCAGTAAATTAGATGAAAATGAAATATAACTCAGCCACTAATGTATGATACTATTTGGCTACACAAAACTTGTCAGGTGAAGCGGAATTCCAATTCCATGACCTACTGATTGAAAGTAAACCACCTAGATGAATAAGCCACCGCTTAAGTATAACTGGAACCATCATGTGAGCAATGCAAAAGTTATGTGTACAATAAAGAATGTTAGGTAGTTCATAAATTTATGGACATTCATCGAATGAGATGTTTAGGATGTGTATTATACACACCCAACCATTATCTCCTTCAATTTACCGTGCCAGGTGAAACGGGACTGTTATAAAAAGCTAGGGGTTGTCAAACCAATCAGTTAAGTTGTTGTTTGTTAACTTTAACTGTATAGAGAAGTGCAGGCTTCTTGTTTAGGATCTGATAAATAACCGAAACTGGTTTGTCTCAAAAATGATGGTAGTGGTGTGCTGATGCTTCCACACTATGCTTTTATCTAAATCGCAAGCGCATGTTTATAATGCAACTGTTTGTTTCATGGTTTTTCAATTTGTATATCCTTTCTCTTGCTGCATTTTATCTTCATTTATTGCTATGACGTGTTGCAACTTAATAAACCTCCAAACAGTTATGTGAAGTTCAATATAAGTAATAACTATCTGCCTGACCTGGAAACATAAGATGACTACTAAGCCAGTCAAAACTCATTGCATAGAATTTCTTCTAAGATCCCTGAGAGCTGATTGTTTCCAATTCATATGTGGCATACAATCGTTTAGTTTTTACAAAAGTACTTTGATGCTTATGAACCTTTGTCATTAGTCAGACCGAGTTGTTAAGCCACTATTGACAAATAAGCTCTGCGTGGATGCCTCGTTATTCCCGGTATTTTCAAACTTGATATTAATGATGAATAGTGGCTAGCAGTGAAATCCAGGACACGCATTTCGTCCTATTTTAGGATCGTCAGCTGGATGTACCTGAAGTGAAGTTGTTCCCATTAGGACTCAAACCACGGACCAGTTGCTATAAACACTAGAGCCTTATCCACTAGGCCACTGAGTTCCGATAATCACTCCTCGTACTACAGGTATAGTATAGTCTTTGATGCCTATAGCTTGTGAATCTCCGTCATTGATAAGACCGAACTGATCAACCACTATCGACATATTGGCTCTGTGCGGATGCGTCGATATTTCCGGTTTATTCATATTTGATATTAATGATGGATAGTGGCTAGCAGTGGGGCAACACCACTCACTGGGGTGCAGGAACATCCAGTTGACAAGTCCTAAATATGATGTCCTTGATTCCGCTGCTAGCTACTAATCGTCTTTGCAGAAGTACACTTATCACAACTTTTTTTTATGATGTTTTCCCATCCATGCCGTCTTACTTTTTTGTTGTTTGCATCTGTATTTATTTTCCACCTGTTCTTTCACTGCATATACTTATTCCGATAGCTGATTATTATTTCTTTTGCTTGTTCTCTTTTAATCAATCAATAAGCTCAAAAATGTTTTCAGCGACTTTGATTGGTTAACCAATAGAATGTTTTGGTCTCACTGGAATTTCGTTCCTACAACTTATCGATTTAGATTCCCTACTGTAACGTCATTCTTTCCTTCCTTCCTTCCTTCCTTCATCTATTACCTATTTACTGTTAGTATACTGCCTACATATAGAACACTAATTTTCCGTTTATCGGCAATTTTAAATTTTTTGTAAGGAAGAGAGAATTTCATTAAGTTCGGTTACTTGAGTTACATCATATGACTGGTTTCTGCACTTTATGTAAACAAAAGTGAAAAGGAATAGCGTATCCTAAATAAATTACTTCTGCTTCTTGTTGAGAAAGGTTAATAAGTAGGCTATCTTTATCGGTATGCCTATTACTAGGCCAAAACAGTTGATTATAGTAATTAAATTAAAGGGAATCAAGAATGCATTTACGATTGTGTACATAGGTTTTTAGGCATCTAGTCAAGGATAGGTGAAGCATAAAACTTTGCATGTTGAAGTGGTTTAAGTGCGTATTTGGCATGCCTGATTATTGCTTTCCTTGACGATCTGTTAACTAGTAGAAGTAAAGTTCTAGTGTTTGGGCCGAGACACAGCAGTAACAAATGGAGTCTCCGTTCTTTTGGTCTGATAAATGCAGCGGCGAGGGAGCCGTACAGACGTCTTGGACAGATGGAGTTGATATTTGGAAATTTTAGAGATATGACTCGAAATCACTTACTGTGGTGTATATGCACACGCATATCTTTTGTTCCCCTCATTATCTTTTCTCCTTTGTTTTCTGCTTTTTATACTACTACCCATATCCTCATTTTAATTTTTTTGTTTGTGATGGTTTAAAGTGTATCAAGGTAAATGAATGCACAATTTTGTCAGACGTTACGTTGCTGATATCTATGCGTTTTGCATACTGCATTTTTTCCTCGAAAATGCTTCACTGCAGAACTCAGCTCATCGTTATAGAGTATTCCTGACTCTTGCAAGTGATATGATTTTCCGAACGATGACCGTGTTCTTCCTCCCATATAATTGTAGTGGCTTATCAGGTGTTCTAGCAAATGAAGTGATCTGTGCATCTATATACTGTTCCCTATGATGGTCAGACAATTGGGATATAGAGACGTTCCTATATTGGTTGTTCACTGGATAGCAATCAATCTCACATTGTCTAATCCTGAGTGCTGACTGAATTCTGTCGATCATTTTGCAGTGTGGCCACCAAGCTAGAAAGAGATCGCCATCGTGGTGCACTTTGATGGATGGTAGTTGGTTGGAGGTAATCGGTAGGAAGCCGTGGACCTAAGTTTCCTGCTTGTTGGCATTCGTCAGATAGGTGTATCTACAACTTCGAGGGGGCTAAAGTCCCCTGTGGAATTTGAACCCGCGTCACACAGTTCTGCAGTCAGCGACGTTACTGCTAACCTACTCGGGCCGTTCCCTAAAAAATGACATTAAACCTGTCCAAGCTGATATACTTCTCAATAGCGTTTATGGAACACCAGTGAGTGGGGAAATGCATTGAAATAGACTAGGAAAAAGTATTGAGCCAACAACAACTTGATAGAGATTGGCAAGGCGTACAGGATTTAGGAATAAATAAAACTGCGAGTGTCTTTTAATCAGTGCGATTAGTCTACAGTTAAGTCAACCAAGATCTCTGAAGACACCTTTTTATAAAACTGTAACACCAAAGTACGAAAAGATTCGAATACACATTGATGTCTTTTTGTGTTGTAAACCTACCCATTCACTGGCTATAGTTTGATCTACAAGAAAAATTTTAACGAAAATAGTTCAACTCAATCGGGGAGACGGCATCTGCTGGTTTCGTTTAGAGTAGGCAATTTAATCTCTTTCGTGATAAGGTATCAAGTCATTTAGAAAGGTAAACGGATAATGGCTATCTTCCATTACAGGTCCGCTTCAGCGGTGTGTGACAGTCAGCGACGCCGTACTTCGCGGTACGATATTGACGTAAATAGATTTTGTCACTTAGGAAGCGTATTCATAAATTTTGTCGAAGCGTACTTTCAAGCACTAGTGCTTGGGCCTGAAACTGTGCAGTAATGAATACAGTCGGAAAAATTATTCAGTCAAGTAAAAGTGAGGACTGTTTTTGAATTATTTTTAACGTAATCACCGACGCATCCCAGTAACTAGTCGAATACATTCTGAAATGTGTGTTCTAAAATCTTTAAGTGACAATAAATTTCAGAGAAATTTGGCAAACCTGATATTCTTCTAATAGGCTCACGTTGGCGTGAATGAGTGCAAAAGCATGTGAATAAAACACGAATTGATTTGCAGTCTACATACTTATTGTGGTCAATGTTAGACGACAAGATTTAGTTGTACAGTGACATAACAGATGGCTCAACTTATAATGATAAGAGGCAGGTAATATTAAAGGCCAGTCCACTAGGCTTTTTGTGTACTCGGTGTTTGTGACCTTGTAGCGGATTAAAATTTTATCACGTTTGTAGTGGAACAGTGCAGTGCGTTTTCATTTTGTTCCCAACAATCGTCCTGCATGATTGATGCTTAATTTAGCCTAGGTGCTCTTCCAGATATATGAATTTATTGTTGTTCTTGATTAAATCTAATCCAGTGTAAGTCAATTTTTACTTTGATTTATATGAATAATATCGGTATACTTACTTTCTATTAATCAGGTTATATTGGTGTAGTCAATCGCAGTCAACGTGATATTGAAGGTCGTAAAGATATTAAAGCAGCCTTAGCAGCTGAAAGAAAGTTTTTTCTAAGTCATCCATCTTATCGTCATATGGCTGATCGAATGGGTACACCATTTTTACAATCTACATTGAATCAACAGTTAACCAATCATATTCGAGATACTTTGCCTGGTTTAAGAAACAAAATTCAATCACAGATGTTAGCTATGGAAAAAGAAGTTGAAGAATATAAACACTATAAACCTAGTGATCCATCTTTTAAGACTAAAGCTTTACTTCTGTAAGTCTTATTCTAAGCAGTACTTTGGGATTATTGGCCGTATCGTACTTTTTTTTGTTATAGCATACAGTTCACCACTTTAAATCATTAGCTTCTAATTAGTGAATAACGTGTTCCCACTTTAACTCCTATCTGCTAAAATGTGGTCAGCCAGAGTAGCGTCATAACTTCTAACTCAATAAGTATAGTTTCTAACCCATAGTACACTAACGTGTTTGCGGTTGCTAAGTTGCATTGTATTGCTAATCTCTTGGTTATTCTTACTAGTTGAGGACTTTTAATTGGAAAAGTCTATGCTTGTCCCGCATTATCATACTGTTTTCAGTGTTGACCAAATGTGTTCAATTTTCGTTGAAGACAGTAATATAGGGTAAAATATGTAACGTGAATACAAATATGTATCCCACTCATTTGACTGCTAAGTCTAGCACTCGGTGGTTGACACTCCTATACGAAGCATGAGCTTCTTGCTGTAGATATTTGACCTTTCTGTAACCAGTACGTCACTGAATTGTTATCTACCTTTCACTTGCTGAAGTTTAAGCAGCCTGGTAGTATTACTAACCCCTACAAAATATATATAGCTCACAACTCTGTTGATACAAATCTGGATGTGGTTGCTGATTACAGGTACCGCAGTCAACCTACCAACGTTATACAAGGGGCAGTCTTGTGTTTCTAGATTATGTAATGTTTTGCTGTGAATTTTCCAAGTGTTTTATTTATTAAAAGAGTTCGATCCACCATGAATCTCGTTTATTGACTTATCGTTATGATGTAGTTTTATCTGTATTCGACTTATAGGACGGTACAAAGTTTTGAAAAAGATTTCCATCAGGCAATCGATGGTGGTGGTTCAGAAATTGATACAAAAACATTGTCTGGCGGTGCGTTGATTAATCGTATATTCCATGAACGTCTGCCATATGAAATGAACAAGGTAAAGTAATAGAGCATTTAGTAATCTCTGCATATCATGTTAAACATTTTATTGGTATTTTAGTATAGACAGATTAAAAAGTGGTCCAGTTAAACACTTAACCTCAATGATGGATGGTGGCTAGCAGTGGAACCCAGGATGCGCATTTCGTACTATATGGCTCGGTGGTGCAGTGGATAATGCTCTGGCGTCTGAAGCGGTCGCTCCCGAATGCCGGTGGGAACAACATCACTCACTGGGAGGCAGGTAAATCCAGCCGACGAGTACCAAATAGGACAAAACGTGCATGCTTGATTCCACTGCTAACCACTATCCATCTTTACTATATTTAGAACACAGGTAATATCGAGGCATCCGCACAGAAGCCCATATCCCAATAGAGATCGATCAATTGGGTCCAATCAACGACGGTATAATCCAAGCAATTATACTATTTAACCTCAATCTTCTGGTTTGCTTATCTCATACTGATTTTTTTGTGGTTACTATCACCAGGTTTAATTATTTTGTATTTGCATGTATTTACTTGGAAGGTGAACAAATGAAAGAAAGGGATACTAGATGTAACTCATCCAAATATATACAGGTTCACTTATCCGAATATGATACTTAATCCTTTTGCCACCCATATCGGAAGTTTGACTCAGTGACCCATTGGTTTACTGTGTACCAGTGATTGTATTACATGCTGCAGTTAAATAAGTTGGTTTTTAACCATTTATTTTTAAACCAGTTAACTGTTTTGGTTATGAATACCTTCAGTATCTCAACGCCCATATCTACGCTTTAATGTTTTCAGTGACTTATATAAAGTAAAATCACTTTATTTGAATTTTTCCGCTTGATTAGCTAATGCTTACTTGAATCCATATCGGCAAAAGCCTAATGACTGGATGTGAAAACGGTATGTTACAGATAAGTCTCTGAGCATCAACCTTCACTTGATAGGTCTAAAATGCATGCAACTAGATCAGGGTATTTGCTTTCATTAAGGTGTTTATAAAGTGAAAATGATCTACTCTTGGTATAAAAATTCCCGGGATTTAGAGCAGTTTACCTAAATTTCTGGTATTTTTGGTCATCGGTTGTTTTGATATCTTCATGTAATGTAAAACCACTTCACTTAAGTCAGCCATTGTATTTATCGTTTATTTTAGGTTTGCGAACGAATTGGTGGTCAAGGCCTTGTTGGTCTGCATGTGTTATAGCATTATCATGTCACAGAGTTAAGCACCAACCTTTAGGTGGTGTTGTGATTTCAGTTCATTTGCTGCCCTTCAAAGTAGGATGTGGATTTTAAAAACACATCTTACTCTTACGCTGAATACAAGTCGGCTGATATCAAGAAGCTATTTAAGATAATCGTAGACTGTCCTTCCACCTGTCTGTCTGTCGTAGACAATGGCATCATAGAACTTTATAAAATATCGAACTTCCATCCGTTTCTCTCAACTTCCATGTTATTTAGTAAGTAGTGCTAAGGTATTGGGGAGGGAATAACCGCTGGAAATTTGTGTCCAAACAACGTTCTGCAAGAATGAACAGAACACTATATAATTTTTTGAAATATAATATAATAAGTAGTAACTTATTGATACCAATTATCAATTACTAAAACGGTGGCATTGTAGTACTAAATTGTATTACTACAATCAGTGATGATAATTCCCTATCCAGTTAACCGAACTACATATAACACATATATACATAGTCCAGATAATGAATTTACTTAGAGTATTTCAAACATATGATGAGGTGAATGAGGAGTGGACATCTCTTTTTTGTTATTTACTATGCGAAATGCATACATGATGAATATTATTAAGATATAGAATAACCAAACACAGTGGATATTGTTAGCTTTCTTTGTCTATTCACCACTCCTGTCTACCTAGTTTTCTCGGTAATATCTGTTGTTTTTGTGGAGAAAAAAAACAGCAACTGTAATTAATACGTTTTTATTCACTATGCAAATGTCTTTTTCACTTTGTTTGAAATCAATGTCGCAAGCTGTACACTTGTAAGATTAGATTAGATCATCATTGATTAACGTTTATTACTTGGTATGAAAGTAAAGTGAACTGCTGGAGGAGGATCGGTTATCACATGGGTTAATGTATGATATTTCAGAGGAGTTCAAATACCTATCCCACATATGGTTAGGTGAATCATAATGAAATACATTTACTATCTAACTATATCCTATATGGTCACGCTGAAGCTTCCTGAAAATATAATTTTGGTGTGAAATTCAAGTATTCGTACGTGAATTTCAGTTGCTGTCTGCCGGTATTACTGTCCGATAAGTCTGCATCCTTAATTACACGCATCATAATTTAATACAGAGAGAAATACACATCTGTTTAAGACTGGGACAACGAATAAGACTTAGCAACATAAAGGTTCTGAACAGTGTAAAATATATGTGGAAAGGTTGAAAAGGATATTGAGGTTGAATGAAAAATTACTGGGATTAAAGTTGAGTTACGTCATCGTGAATGAAAATGTTGATAGCGAAATGAAGCATGAATACTAGTCATAAATCTATTCACAAAATGGATAGAAAAACAGACAGACAAAATCAATGCAAAACTTTGCTCAAAAATGCATCAATTCAATTGACCACACTTCGCAGCAGCATGCAAAACACAACCTAGTAGAAAAAGTATTATGAAAGTAGAAAAAGATGTTTAGGAGGGAAAGCAATCTGAAAATCAAGGTCAATATTCAAACCTCAGACGATATCAGAGTGAATATAAGGACAAAAACTAACCGCAATGATACTTGACTGAAAGTAACAAAAGTAATTAATCGGCGAAGTCTTAGTTCATTCAAAAAAATATTAACAAGGATTATTCAGACTGACCACCAGTTACTGCTGCATACAAGGCATTGCTTGTAAACCCAAACTGCCCAACTTTTTGTAATTGTAAGCAGCTTCTTTTTTAGCTACCTGGTAACTACTGTAAACTACTTGATGGAGTTAAAGTCACGTCTGTAGTCTAGGGGGTATTTAGCTAAAGAGGCCTTTGGAATCTTCACTTCAGAACAGGTGGGAGCTCAATCATACGACTAGATAGTCACTTCCTCTTATGACCCTTTTACTTGCTCCCGCAACCAAGCTTTAATTGATATACACAGAAGTATCGAGGATTTGTGTTTTATCTGTTCTATTTTTTAGCATTATCAACTTCGTGTTCCTAAGACACATCAACTTTGCAGTAAATTAATTCCTCCTTATAGTTGTATCGAGGTTCCCCTTTATGAGTCATGCATGTCGTTTCCTCTAAATAGTAAACTGATACATACTGGCTTTTTGGAACTGTAGGGATATTCCATTTCCTTCATATATATCCAGCTTACTTGTTGATAAGTCTTTTTTTAGAAAGGATTTTTCCTAGTTTTTACTTCATATTCGATTGTGCTATTAAGACAGATTTTCTTAAGTTTACCAAACAGAATTGTAACCAAATCCGTTTATATATATATATATATATATATATATATATATATATATATATATATATATGTATATATATATATATATATATCAATAAGCTTTGTTCTTTGCATTGAAGTTTCAGTAAAGGACTTTCGGATTAGCACTCCACAGCTAAAGGGCTCTAAGCAAATTAATTTCATCATTTTGAACTTGAAATAACTACTGTGTCTCTCCGTAAATCGATTATAGCAGCCTTTTTATATTAGTAAGTACTCAAACCAAAGGACTCTAAACTTGTGTTATTTCTGTGTTTGAGTAGATCCCAGTTGTCAGTCGTTGATTACAACTACTCTCAGTTTTCTTTTAAATTTCAAAGTATAGTTGTAGATATATGGGATAAAACACACTTGAGGTGTAGTGATCCTATTCAGTTTCAGACATACAGACAAAATCGACGTAGAACCTCACAGTAGTGCATTGGTTTAAGTTACCATTCAAAAAACAAGTGGACAGAAAAAGATTGATATCAAAGTAAACGAAGGTGAATCGATAGAAAAAGGAGTTGAAAATCAAGGTTAGTGAAAATGTTCAAGCTTTGGAAGGCGTCAAAGAGTGAATACATCTTCACCATTGTGACGGATTTTCAGCGACTCCACCAGGAGTCTCCAACCATTGATTCCCAACAAGGCCCAGACCAATAGGCAAAAACTTCATGAACTGTTGCCACATCTTGGTCTGGCCACTCTGAGCCTTTTAAAAAGTCTAATTCAGTTCTACCAGCGTTATATGTCGAGGTAGGTGGCGGCTTGACGTGCAAAACATATGTCTAAACCACTTCAGTCGCTGAAAGTTTGCAATCTCGTTGGTCTACTTGTCTGTCATGACTAGTACGCTTCGTCTTACCTCAACACTATTCAAATGGTGTTTCCACCATACGGAAGCAATAATACGAAGACATCTGTGTTCATAGACCTGTAATCTGTTCATACCTCTTACTTTCAATAGCCATATCTCACAGCCGTATAACAAGACGACAGATCGATCTGCAGCGCAATATACTCATCCTTTAATAGGTAGTCGATTATCTTGCCAGTCGGCGCCACAGATTATACAAGTTGGCAAATGCCAAATGGGTTTTATGTATTCAGTTTATTAGATTTTAACTTGTAACTTGGTGGTTAGTAGTCGAAGGCTTAAATTAATGAGCGATGACTTCATCATAGAACGATTCACTTTGTGAAAAAATGTCAAGTAACCCATCAGTGAAATTGTATTATTTCTGTAATTTTTATGACTCAAATTTTCCACATATATAGCATAGTTTTCTAGAGTAAAAGTAATGTATATACGATATTGAATTTTAGTCTTTAGTATTTATTTTCTTTGTATGAAACGTCAGTCTCTTTTTATAATCCGACTGATTTCATTGTGATAGATTTTCAACCTGTACAGTCGAAGTTGATTATTGCCTTTTGTTTTCCTAGCCATTCGAGTTTTTTCTACCGTTCCTTTTGGTATTGCTTACTAGATTGAAACTGACGAAGAAGAACTACGAAAAGAGATCAGCTATGCAATTCGTAACATACATGGTATTAGGTAAGTGCTATGATAAATTTACTTCATCTCTTATTCACTATTTAACCCAATGGAAAGCTTTTCTCCTGTTATTTCTGTTCTTTTCTAATGCCTCAACATCTTGATTGGTAACCAACTTTATTTTGTCTTGTCCTAAGTGCTGATCGAACCCTGTAGATGATTTTGCAATGTGACCACAACGCTAGGTTGACTGAACATGGCTATGCATGTTAATAGATGTTAGTTGGATGGACGCAGTCAGCAGGAAACCTTGGACCTAGGTTTCATGCTGTTTAGCATTCGTCAAGAAGACGTATCTGCAACTTCGAGGAGATTGATGTTCCCTATGATATTCGAACTCACGTCACCTAGTGTTGCAGTCAGATACGAGTAGCTCAGTGGTAACGTGTCTGACTGCAACACTGGGTGATGCTAGTTCAAATCTCATTGGGACATTAGTTCCGTAGAAGTTGTAGATACGCCTTACTGATGAGTACAAAAAAGCACAAAACCTAGATTCAGGGCTTCCTACTTATCGCTTCCATCCAACATCGCCTCAACATCTCTTTGACGGACATCAATAAAACTTCAAAATAATGAATTATTGATGAAAATGTTTATCATTTGATGGTGTTACTGCAAACTCTGTCCTGCATTTCTATCATATTTCTCCTTATGTTCTAGCAGTTTCGTCTCACTGTATGCTCATCAATCAGATGTTTGACGGATTTTGCGGAAAACTTATCAAAAACTTATTTTTGCGGTGATAGCTAACGGAATGGGGGTTAGATTCATGAATTACATTCCTTGATGCATTAGTCGTCTGCATTTGCTTGCCACTTTATAAATAAAGATGTGATTTATTAGCCTAGGCACTCAACCTTCAAGTATTGGGATTTCGCTCCAACTCCGGTTTGGGCAACCAGATAGTATCACATACTATCATGCAATAAGTATGGAGCATAGCCTAGCTCATAAGTGTATATGTGTACTGTGATGAATTGCAGTTGCGGTATCATTTTCTTAAGTTCCACTCCCCGACCTTATTATGTCAGGAAACGTTTAGACCTCTGAGTTTGCAATGCTATTTGACCACTAAATATCATAAATTTTCGGTATTCAAACATATATTCATAATTCACAATGGGAAGCTCAGTGATGCTTTTGAAGTGAAGACAGAAGTGAAACAAGGTTGCATACTATCCCCCATGATATTCCTGATTGTGGTGGACTGGACCATGCAGCAAACAGTGGGGAGCGAGAAGAGGGGGATACGCTGGACTGCGGAAAAGAACCTAGAAGATCTGGATTTCGCCGATGACTTGTGCCTGATGTCACACAAACTTGAAGATCTGCAGGTGAAAACTAACAAGTTGACAGAAGAGGCAGCGAAGACAGGACTTCAGGTGAATATAGAGAAGACAGAAGTGATGAAGATACCGCACCACCGCCACCGCCACCAACAACAACAAACTCCAATCACCGTCAACGGGAGAAACTTAAAGGAAGTAACCTCCTTCACTTATCTAGGAAGCACTGTTTCAACTACAGGTGGCACAGACGAGGATGTCAAAGTCAGAAACGGAAAAGCAAGACAGGCGTTCATTAGCCTGAAACCAGTGTGGAGATCTTCTGCACTCAGCATGCGGAACAAGATCCGGATTTTCAACACCAACGTCGAGTCAATGCTTCTGTATGGTTCAGAGATTTCCAATAAACTACAGACATTCATCAACAACTGCTTACGATCGCTACTGAAGATCAGATGGCCAGAAAGAATAAGCAACAAGGAGCTCTGGGAACAAACCAACCAAGAACCTATCACCCAACAAATATGCACTGGAAGGAGTGGAGATAGATTGGCCATGCACTGAGAAGGCCGACTGGGGACATCACGCGTCAGGCCCTCGAGTGGAATCCCCATGGGAAGCGACGAGTTGGGTGTCCGAGGCGAGGGTGACATGGAGGAGATCGTGCGAGGAGGAAATGAGAGCTTGTGGGCTGTTGTGGAGCCAGGTTCAAAAGATTTCAGAGAACAGAGCGCATTGGAGACGTGCTACTGAAGCCCTATGTTCCATTAGGAACCCAAGGGACTAATAATAATCATAAAACATATATTCAACTGCTTTCTAACGTTTCGGTAAATAAAGAGTTTGCTAATTGACTACGTACTTTATCAAATTATTTTCATTGACTTCTAAGCATTAGGTCGTTTATATGTGCATGTCTGTGTGACTTCTAGTTGGGTAGAATTTGATCTAAAGTTACATGTTTAAAGTAGCGTTTCACCAACCAGTGAGGTACACAATCATTCATTGGGTTGAGTGATTTGGTAAGAGTTGTAAATATTTGTAACATATACTATTACCGATTGTTTAAAATATCAGTTCATCCTTCTGTGAATGGATTCTTTGAAAACTATGAAGCTTGGTCCTATAAATTGTTGTACGGACATGGTTTTCATGTTTTTCCACCTCACCTGTTTTGCTCATTTTATTGAATTTCCTTGATAACATACGGGACCGTTATGTATGATATTCATGTATTCATGCTCTTAAAACTAAGTTGTTTTTTTTGAATCTATAAATCTAGTATAACGTTATGACATCTGTTAAGTTCGGTTTAGTGTGACTTTAAAAACACTAAAGTTGTATGAGTACTTATCACTTCAGGTCTCCGTGTTTCTAGATGGCATAATGAAAATTGAGTAATTGCTGAACAAGATAACTGATTATAATTGTATTTTTAATCCATAATAAAAGAACCAATAAACCATATTAGTACGTTATGAACCAAATGTTTTTTTAACGTCTCCCATTGTTCATTTCTTTCCATTAGATTAATTTATTGTATAGATTTACAGTGATTACACTAACCAGTGTCTTACTTTTCTGTTAAATAAAAAGAGAAAAGTGATGGGATACGATATCAAATATGGAACTGTTGGTTGTTTAGTCAACCACCATACCACAAGCGATTGTTTACTGACATAAGGAAGGAAACTATGCGTATAACAACATATTTTTGCATTCTTTTGACATCGTTATTTGTTCTACCTAACTGGATCTCATTCATTAAGCCGAAGTTAGTCTATCTATAATCGTATCTTTGACAGAGTTTTAAGTGTGATGCCGGAAATAATTAGTCAGCATTTATTTTGATTTTTTAAGTTTGAAATAACAATGAAGATCCATTGGTTTCTTTGCGTGTCGATGTTTTATTCTATCATCGTGTAATAGACATTTTAAGTTTAACGTTTTGTAGATACAGATTCCTTATTTCGGGTCCTATCTCATCGGTTAAGTACACAAGCGTATTCATCTAACAGAGCTAGTTTGTTCAAGCTAACTGGATCTGGCTAATTGACTTGGATTTACATGTGTAATGATTAGACACTACTACTAACTGAATTATTATGTGTATACAGCGAATTTGATTCGTCTCTGGACGAGCGAAACGACCATTTAATGCTCGAATCACTTCAATCGGATTAGTCAAATCTGCAGATCAGTGTAAATGGATTCTTACTAATCATGTTTTCTAATGATATATTTCATGACACAGATCAGTCTTTGTTCTTGACTGATTTGTTTCGAACTGAAACACTACTGATTCTAAAGACGAATCGTTGTAAATCTAGTCATCTTTGCGAAATTCCATGGAATACTATGGAATGCAAACTTGATTTTCATACTGTTCATCTCTTTCATTAGTTTTTTTTAAGCATACTTCGTGTGTTTCGGATCTACGATGGTAAAGTTAGCATCACAATAGTCTTATGTCCTGTTAGTCTAGTGTGTCATTTGTAATGGTGCGAAATTAAAAGTTAATCCTGTAGAAACATCTTACCCTGATTCTGTAACCTCCTAGTCATATTCATTTAAAGTCATTGTCTTTGTTAAACTCAGTATTCTGTATAAACAAATTGACTTGTGTAGAGCTGTAACTGATTGATTTAAGCACTTAACCATCCAATTATTAAGTCATATGTTCTGGTTTTATTCTGGTTACCGAATTTCGGGTAGCCAAATGTGAACCATATCAAAATACGAAAACTTAGGGGTTATTGCTTGCTTATTTATTCATATCGAAAGTATTGGTCCCGATTTCCAAACAATGACATTTTCGTTTGTAACGACATTTCGCATTAAATTAAAGCGCCTTATATGTATGTTTCTGTCATTTAAAATGTCTAATTGACCTTAGAAATCATAACTTTTCATTGAAGCATACCTACTAGTTGTTTATAAAAAGTCCGTTCACCAATATACCCTGAATAATTCATTAACTCTGTCATTTAATTCGTTGTTTCTACGTCAGTAGTCTTGACACAAGTTATTTTCTCTCTTTTTTTTTCTTTCCGAATGCTTGTACTATCACTAGAACTGGACTATTCACTCCTGATTTGGCCTTTGAAACTATCACTCGTAAACAAATTGATAAAATGAAGATACCATCATTGAAGTGTGCTGATTTAGTCGTTGCTCAATTAACTGAAATTGTTCATGCATGCACTGCACGTGTAAGTCTAATTGTTTGTTTTATTTTAATAAAAATGTTTGCAGGTAGGATTTTCGCTTTCTTTATCCACTTGTCAATTTTCATCTTTTTCCGTATGCATATATACATTGCAAGAAGTTGATAGGTTATGTTTTTCGTTTCTTATTCATTGATGTATCTCACCTTCATGGTTATCTTACATTGAAAACTATCGATTGTCACTTGGCAGAAAAGTTTTCTTCCTTTCTTACAACCTTTTCACTCCTATAAATAAATAGTATCTTAATTCATTGCGTTCTAGATATGTAAACAGTGTATATAAAAATGCAGTCTCACAAATTGTAATCGTTCATTTTGTATTACACTTCATGACAGTTCAGGGAGAAAATCAAAAGTATCCGAAGAGATTGAAATGAACAAAACGGATGTGTAAAAACAGTGAGCAAGGGTTAATAAGATGTTCTAAATGCATTTACACCATTGTAAACACTTTTGAGCCACGAAGTCAAGAATCTTTAAGTATTGGTTTCCAACATCATGCAATCTTCAGCAAGGTAGCTTGCAATTCCATAAACCAGCGACTTCATGGGTTGATGCCATGTTTTCTTCAGGTCACGTTTTAGCCTAGGAATTGAAATAAAGCCTGACTAGCTTGATTAGCTTTGGCCATCCATCTCCACTTATGCATTACTTACTGGTGTCGGGTATATTTCACAGAAGTCCGCCTTGTTCTACTATATGACTTTCAAACTTGGTCATTGAAGATGGGCAACTTGAGAAGGCTTCAAACTTCCGACCATTATTATCTTCGTTGTATTGTGTGTTGTGGATTCAACACGTGAAAAACACAGGTTTGTGTAGACGTTTATGTAAAAGAGATAAGTCAGTCGATTAGGTTGTAAACCGTCATAAGCTTACGCACCTGAAACTTAATTTGTGCTTACCGACCCACCATCTACCTTGACTAACGATAGTCTTTCAAACACAGATTGCTTATAAAGTAGCAGAGGATGGTGAGAGTGAAAAGTGATATCAATCCAAAAAGTCTCTTACTGACATTCTGAGTCGTATAGGAAAAAGTATATTTTGAAGTTTGGCTTGATATGACAACCGTTGGTGGTTGAGTATCAGATCAAATGGTTCAGAATCGATCGTGATAGCGCAGATGTATTCATGCCTTATCTTCATCTTAATCGTTATACCAAATTTCTTGATTTTGTGAAACCCATCTTCTCATTTAATGACTTTCTACTTCTGGTTGAGTTATTTCCATCTCCGTTTTCTGTCTTGTCATCGTGTATCTTAATATTCTGATGTGAGGCTTAGCATCTTGAACCATTTCGCAATAGTAGCACATCCTATTTTGATATTGACTAGCTGACTGACTCTGAACTTTCTTTCATAATAAACATACTTATCCCAACATCTCATTTCTTGGTAGGTAGTTATTCAGCGTCAATAACACGTGCCCTAGACAACCCAATCTTTTAAGTGCATAAGATCATTGTTGTCAAAGCATTCACACATAACCTCAAGATTTCTCATTCATTGTCTCTACTGAAGATGATCTATTCCTTAGCAATACCTTCGACCAAATACTTGTAACTTTTTCATGTTTCTCGCTTTTATCTACCACATCCTGCAATCCTAGGGTTGAATCAAAAATACTGTTACAGGGTGTACTCATTGTTTTAATAGGTAGTCAAGTATCTCTTTGCAGCTACAGCCGCAGACAGCATATGTTAGCAGATGGATGTAAGCCATGTAGAACCTAGTATTACTATTTAATGATCCAGTTTGCTATAGTTCACATCAACAAATCAAAGTAAAAGTCAACAAAACGAAAGAAATGGAAATGAGAATGAAAGTCATTAAACAGCTTTTGATGAGATAGGAAAGAGGTAGAGAACAATAATAATATGTGGGATTTTACTATTCACATGGGAATAAGGAGTAATTGCCTCTAGGCTACTATGAACGGTTTTGACAACTGTCAAGTAAAGGTTTGATATCCTTTCCATTGAGTGTAGGCGTTTTTACTTAGTGCATTATAATTGGATACAATTAGATATGGATTAATTAATTAGTTCAAGAATATATTTTTCAATATCACCACTTTTATTTCTACTATTAATATTATCTTTGTATTAATTACATCACAGATGGAGAATTTTCCACGTTTAAGAGAAGAAACGGAACGTATTGTAAACCAGTGGATAAGAGAAAGAGAAATTCGTGCTAAAGAGCAAATTGTACTTTTAGTTGATATACAATTATCGTATATGAATACAAATCATGAGGATTTTATTGGTTTTGAAAGGTAACTATTGTTTTTATTTGTGTGCTTCTTATACCCTTTTATTTAAGCCTTTTAACTAACTATAAGGTATTTAAGCATTATTTGTGAATGTTTTCAAATAATATCTATATTGTTGTATGTGTATGCAGGTGTGGTTACTCATTGCACTGGACACCTGGCCTCCATCCAAAAGGGGGTGCTTTCAAATCCCTTCCGATTGGAAAGTCAAATGTTTTGTATTTTCTCACTTGTCAATAATGGATACAGCTCATATACAGTTATACGACGGTGTATGGGATTCCATTCTAGTTGATTTATCAGATGTATCACACAGTGGAACAGTATTATTTGCTGTATTACGTTTCGGACATAACTTATTGTTCATAGTTGTATCAAGATAACTGCACGACTTTTAGACATCCGTTACATAGTCCTAAATTTCATACCTTCTTCGTGATATGGGTAGTAGGTTTTTCGGTATATCCACAACAGGTGCGTAGTCATTCCTGTTGCATGTATTAAGTGTTGATTCTGTATGGACTGGGTATATGGAAAATCTTACTACTCATATCACAAAGGAGGCAAGAAAAATTAGGATTATATTAAGGATGTCTCAAAGATGTATAGTTATCTTGATATGACTATGGACAATAAATTATGCCTGAAACGTAATCCAGTAAGCAATACTGTTACACTGTGTGATAAATCTACTAAATCAACTAAAATGAAACTACATTCTACCACAGTGCTCAAGGTTTACTCTTATATTGTTGGTGGTATATGTGGTTGCTCAATTTTTGTATTGGATTTGCATTTTGTAAATGTATCATTCATTATTGATTAAACTTTAAGCGGTGGAATAGTTTGATAACCTGAAAAAGTGCAACCACACCAGTCGAAAGAAGTGAGGTTAAGACATCTAAAGGCATAGCTGAAGCACTAGCGATTCAAAAATTCAAATCATCATTTTGCGTTAAAAAGAAGTATGTTCAAACTATTTCTCCACCATGTTCATCGTAAAATATCCATGACTTTAGATAACTCCTATATGACGTAATCAACTTCATTTTATAATCACTCTGTTTATTTCCGTATTGCGTAACTTTCCTTTGTGACTGACCTTTGACTGGAAATTACTCTGGAATGTTCTATCCTTTCTAGTATATATTCACTAGTGTACAGCTAAGAGAATGATTTCATCGAAAAGAAAAGAAAAATTGTAGTTGAACCCTGTAAGTATACATTTCATAGTTCTTTTGTGTCTTCATCTAATAAAAACAGCAATGAAGAATTACAAGAGAAACTACTAGCAGAGGCTACGTTAAATGTATCTTTTTGCTTCCATTTTTGTAATGATTGCGTATTATTTGTATGATGCGCGCCTTTCGAGACCCCTGAATTTTCGCACTTGCTTTTGAAATATTAATGATAATGGTGATGATAATAACTATTTTTTTCAGTCTTGTATTATTTCTTGACCTCATAGTGTCATCTAACCTCATTGTTAGGGAAATTTCCTTTAAGTGTCTTTCATTGTAGACAGAATGTGTAGCCAGTATTTCACATCAATGAAGGTAATTAATTTAGACGCTCATGGTTATTACCAGATATCTTCCAAATTGATTCTACTAAATGGTATTCTTAATGGATGTTCTCTCTTTTGAGAAGCAAGCGAGGAAAATTTGTGTTTAATATAACACTTGTAATTACCAAAGTGTTTTTCAGAGGAAATCTACGGAAAATGTTTACTGCTTTTAGTAAATTCGTGTTCCCTGCTCTTGTGGTACTCATAATTTCCAAATTATAGCTAACACACTTATTGGAAATGCTTGAAATAAGCACTCTTAAGTACATTGATCTTATATTTAAGCCACTTGGTTCAGTCTCTTTTAATTTATAATTCAAACTGGGAAGTTGTTTCAAAATGAGACTTTTTCGAAAAATTTACGTCATATCAACATGACCATCTCGCTTTGGTGGTCATCACTGTAGTATCCCAAGATATTTATTTACCATGCTCTGTTTCATCTGCTTTGTATGCAACTGGTTGAATATAGGATCAACTTCACATGTTTAGATTTTGACACTGATCAACTACATACTACTTGATATTAATGATGGATAGTGGCTAGTAGTGGAATCTGGAATACGCGTTTCGTCCTACTTGGGACTCATTAGTCGGATGTAAAAATTATGACATCAATACGTTTTGATTGGTTGGTATGAGTTTAAACACATTACAGCCATCTTCAAATTGATAATTAGTAAAGATTTATAAAAGCTTCATGCCGGATTGAAACAGTTGTCCACTTTCTGTTCTCCAATCGTTTCTCGTATATATACGTCTGCAATGAAAACCCGTCTCAAATATACATAAATTTCTAGTTGGGAGTTTACCGAACATATATCGGCGTCTTTATATCTTTACTACACTATACATGTTTGCACTCGTTCGCAGTTAATTTTATGATTAATATATATATATATTCCTCTTAGGAATTCCCTCATTCATTTGCCGCTATGTTTACTACGGTATGACATTTTATTTTTCAATACTTTTAGTTGCTATGACATCAGTTTTGCAATTGATGTTTCTAAAGTGTGTTTATTTGCTATCTTTTTCTTCACAATATACATTAACTATTGCAACGTGTTAATTGTTGGTGAGATACAAAAAAACTATCATTTAACTGTTTCGGCTAATATTATTACGTGTGCGTTTGTATGTATACGTTTGATGTGTATATATGTGTAGAAAATATAGGTGATTATGCATCCGGTCAGCAGCGTGCTTATTTTTCAAATTTGTCCTAACTTGTTTTGTCCTCATAATTTTCTAGTTCATTGACTCTTGTTTTATGCATTTCTTAAAATCTAATTATCGTCTTATTCAAAAGAAGAGGTTTTACATTCTTCCTCTTATCCTCCTCTAATATTAATATTAACTTTAACGATTAATTATTGTTTTTATTATCATAAACTTAAACTGCAAACAACATCACTTTTGCTGAAAGTCACTAGAAAGTTTTCTATCCCCCATCAACCGAACGCATGTACAGACACATGTAAAGTTATTTCTCTTTTTACTTTTTGATGTTTGCATCATCTTTGACTTAATAAAGCCAACTCTGTTCCCTTTCTTGAATAAATCTAGTTTCTACAAGAGGTTATGCACTGCTCTACTAATCCAATACTTATATCTATGACTGTACAGTTGGACGGTGAAAGTACAGAGTTAGTCAGATTCGTTGAAGTTATCTTTCATCACATACAGCATCAGGTTTATTGCATTAACGTATCACATATCATTCAATGAAGTGATAAGCCGTTTACAAAACCTGACTGAAGAATTCGGTCATCCATGAATAATGAGTCATTACCCATATATTTGTTTTTTTTTTTGACCGGTTCTTGAACTTCAAGCGGTAACAGCAACCTTGTTATTTATATCTTCTAGTGGGTAAACGTATTGATTCTGTATCTGTTTTTTTCCTCTACAGTGCAGAACAACAGTCATCAGAGGTAGCAAAAAATAAACCTGGAAATAAGGTCAGCTCAGTATGTCCTCTATTTTTTTCTTATATATATGTATATATTTTTTCTTCATCCGTTTCTATTATTATGAATTGAATGCAATAAAATTATTTCTCAAAAATCAAATGATATAATACATTCTTGCTTGTTTTGTTTCTTTTCCTTTTGACGAGACTGAACACCGTGATGAAAACTCCTTGTTCACAGTTTCATGTAATAGCCTATGAGATCTACGCTTTACTGACAACGGTTAGTGACACTTTGCATTTATGCGAGTAAGGTCAGGAGAAATATTATTACAGGATTCTACATTCTACTGAAATAGAGTGTCGCGTGGTCACATTATTGACTTACTGTTCCAAGTGGGGGGTTGTGGGGATGTGCATATAAGTAGTCCTAATTCTGAATTACAGCCTGTTGAATTTGAAATTCTTGAATACACTATTTCAATATTGGGCGAAATGACCTTAAAATATATCCGTCACATACAGGGTACTATTTGCCTCTCCTTTACTACGAGTTTAAAAGCTTTTAAACTGAAATTATACAGGATTTTCTTATTCATAAAATATGTGACTGGTGATGTCGAGTGACTTCGAAGACCACCTTAGCAACTGCTGAGATGACCAATCAGGTTCCGTTATTTCGGATATGAAGGTATTTCCTCAGGAAATAAAGAAACGCGATTGGTTGTTTCGGGAGGGTGACCTTTAACGTCACTCAGTAGTGATGTTGGTTATATATATATATATATATATATATATATATATATATATATATATATATATATATCGAATAGGTAGCTAGAAATGTTTCCCTTGGTGTTTGCACAAATATATCAAGTCAAATATATTGATTACTATATTGGAAATACTATTTGCAATTATGAATATTAAATGCAAAAGTGGTAAGAAGTGCTTAGGTAATTACAACTCTTATACGCCTTAGACCGAGGTGTTTTCGTTCACGTTAATGAAACGAAGTAGGCAATCTCATTGTCTATCAGAGTTAGGCGTATCTAAAAAATGTTGATAATATTTTGGTTACTGGCGGACAGAATTATCAAGGCGTATATGAAGCGAAATTTTCTTGGTCGTGTTGTCGGCAATAAATAGTATCAAATATTCATAAAATTTCACTCCAGAGCTTCGACTTTTGCTTCTCTGAATGATTTCGTTGCATAAAGTAGAAGAAATGTTTAACAGGTGGTTCCAACATCTCATGGTAACAGGTTGTAGACTAACTAAACTGGTTTTTCATTCTATCTACCTGCTATACATCCAGCCAAATTAATCTTCACCTTGTATATATAGCTTCCGTTTACCTTCCCAAAAGTAAAGGGATTATGTTTTATGCAAACGGGAAGTTGCTTTCAAGGTCAGTCAACACTCGTTTCTGTGGCAATACCCCCAGTTATAGTTAAGAATTATATTTGTGTAAGATGATATACAGGACATAAGAAGCATTAAGGTGTTGCAAAATTGTTTTGTTTCATCACGACAACTGATATCTTGCATTGAGTTTGCTTCACACTTCAGATAATAAATGGATTTGTATTTTTATCCACTGTCTGTGTGTAAACTGAACCCTGAGAACGTTTACTTTCCTTCGACACACCTCACTAATGATTCGTTTTATGCGCGAAATTTGTTGGCACGCTCGTTAGTGACTTGGAATTGAACACTGAAAGGGACGGGATACGTGAAATTCATGGGAAATTATAAGATGTATTGGTTTCACCTTTGTTATTGCTAGGTACTTAGAAATTATGGAAAAATATTCTTATTGGATTCACTTCTCTTTTTGCTCGTTTTTCAAGTGATCCCAACAAAGTCCCGCGGCGAAAAAGATGCTATTGAGATTCCTAACTGCTCCAAAATATTGTAGGGATTTAGAAATCCTTATTGTTTTCTTTTTACAAAAAATTTGTTCATTGAATGTCTTGGGTAGTTGTAATCCATAACATAGTGAATAACCTTAAATACTGATTATATTCAATAATTCAGAAAGAACCTATTGATTGTAGCCATTATAATGCATATTTGTGTGCCTTTCCACACAAACACATACATACATACACCATAATGTACACATGACCTCTTGAGTATAAATAATTTCTTGGTGCAACTAATAAGTTAGTGTGATGATTGGTTAACATTGAATCGCTACTAATCATTGTTATTCATGTAAAGTAATGGTTGATGAACTAGTATAGTGATTCAGTAGACAGATTATTATCAATGATTGGAAGGAAGAGAAAGCATTCACTGTATCATTATTGTTACAATTGCCGAACAATATTGTTCGTCTACTCCTGGGCATTGGTTTTGGCTTGATCACGGACGTAATTAACTATATTATAGACTTCCATTTTGGAGACTTGTAGGGATTTATTTATTGATTTCACGTTGGTATTCATGATGGACGGATATCACTTAGGAAACCAATCAAGAATTAAAGAATTTCACAGCCGTTTCATCCTAATATGGAACTCCTTAGCACTAAGCATTCAAAACCTCACTAGGGATCGAACACAGAACCATCAGGTTCCGTAACCACATGTTACGACTTAACCACTGAGTTGACGTTCAGTGGACCACATTTCTTATTTCTTTTAGTTCACGATATAGCACGGCTCCCATCGAATGCCGTCGTTACGCAATTGTCCTCACGTCCGACGTGGTTGAACCAACGATGGGTGTGGGTTTGATTTATGGCGAGGTCGTAGAGGGGTACTGCTGAGGAATCCCATGTTAGGACGAAGCAGCTGTCCAGTTCTCCCAGGTTTCCGATGGTTCTTCAGCTTATAAATTTCCGTTGTTTAGTATTTATTTTCATAAACCTAGGGTTATGGGACGGTTGACTGAAAAGTAGTGTTGAGGTTGTTTTGCTGACTATGACTGTTGCAGGACTTCATAACTTAAAACTATCTAGTTATGTGAACGCTTTTTCAAGGTATCAGGTTTGCTTTTTATATCTCCAACTGCCCGAAAAATTGCTGTAAATATTCACAACTAATTGGCAAGATTTCAGGAAATTCCCTTCAACTCACTCGTTATATCCGACCAGATAATCCCTTGACGTAAACATAACTCGAGATAATCTTCCAGACTAGAAAAAACAGAATCTCATGTGCGTATATAAATTAAAGTGTTTTATGCATACTTGGGTAGTCTGTTAGCATTTTTACTCTTGAACTTTATTGGACTGGGATCTATTTGTTCCTATGCAAATGTTCAATGATGTATTTATATAGACTGACCGTTTATTCGCATTCATGACTGATGGTCACATTGATTTTATCTGTTTTTTCTAGGTAATTCGCAAAGGTTGGTTATCGTTGCAAAATGTCACTTTGCTTCGTGGTGGCAGCAAGGATTTTTGGTTTGTATTAAATACTGAATCACTGACCTGGTACAAGGACGATGAGGTAAGCTGTTCACGATATGTGGACCAATCTATCATCGATTTCATTTCTAATTCTTCAGTAATTCTTTTAATTTGATAATTCCCTTTGAGATTAATTGTGTAATTTTTCTTAAGATTGCAAAATTTGATCAAATAAAACTGAGTAAACATGTGGAAATTCGTACGATAGTTTTTGAGTGGTATTTTAATTTATGGTAGGTGTCAAGTTATTATGTTAGTTCAGTGTCTGGACTGTGTAGTTATGTCCACATACACTTTGCAGTTGTAAAAAGGGTTAGACTCCATACATATATTCCGTTTGTAGAGTTTCGATTTTATTTTCCGTCTGTTTGGATCGAAGTGAGCGAATTTACCATACAGAAGTAGGTATGAAGACTTCAGCGAAGGAATTTGCTTTCGCCGATATCATTCTCAGAGGCTGTACCAATGGCTAGTATGGTATGCGTGCTTATTTAAAAATGTCAGTATTTGCTAATCAATAATTGTTGATAGTGACCAGGAAAATTATATGGGTACAGAAATTACGTAAGAAACATGAAATTTTTAGCCAAGGTAGAACAACAAATCCTGCAGAATGCGTTGAATTCATTGTGTTTTGGCACCTTCTTTGCAACTGCACACAGGCTATGAAATCTTTCTGGCGGGCTGCTTAAACTTTGGGCTACTGATAATTTTCGATGGAGTTTATTTCATCAAATCCACCCTGCTAATTTATTTTGAACTTATAAATGTCTTTTGAACGCATCGAGTACTCCGGTGCACGTTTAAAATGGTTTCAAACTGCAGTTTTTCATGATAAGAGCAACACAGAGAATAAACGACACACCGGTAAGAGGATGGACTTATAAATGCAAAGGAATACAATTTTGGTACTGGATGGATAAACTACCACTGAAATTACGCTAGATATTCTATTGATTCACCAGTCCACACCAGATGCTAATGTAATACCAGGTGCCTGTTTCACACTGTGGCTTTTATTACTGTTATTATTAACATTCAAATGCAGTGATTATTTCGCTTCAAGATATTATACAGAGAATGAATTTGTTGAACTACTATATGATGAAAATTCCATACTGTACAACAAGTCCTTTTCGGAATAAGGCTATTATTATTATTAAAAAAGATATATACAGAGAAGTACAGTCGACATAGGAAAACTAAAAAGAAGTTACAGCGAAAATAATTTTCTTTTATGATGACTCATTTTCACAGCTATACATTCGTAAACAGATAAGTAAAATGATAGAATGCTCCAGACAAGTATCCGGTCAAAGGTGAAATTTATTCGATAAGTGTATGTAGGGAATGAAATAGTATTACGTAACACAACATATCTCATTAGTTCTAATAAGATGCCGTGAATAGCAACATTTAATATCTGGCAAAAATTCATTAGTAAACATGTGATAAATTACATACAAAGTAAAACATGAACAGAGTATCCGATTAAAGCCAGAGTGAAGAGAGTGTTTGTATATGTTTCTTTAGAATGCACAACTGAGGTTTGTAGCTGTGACTTGTCAAAGCTTTGGTTGCACATAATTGTCTATTCCCCACCCCTTTTGAACGATTTTGTCGGATTTGAACGAGTTTTCCAGAGGAACTAAATATCTAAAGTATACGAGTCGTTCAACGATGGAGCTCAAGATGGTATTGTGATCAGCCTTTAACAACCAGGGTGGATAATTTCCGCAAGCACGTAGTACGCCCGAAGTACTCAGCTCCACAGGAGCTACTAAATATATAGATACACATTCATCAGGCCCAGTGCACCAGCTTGTACTTCATACACTGACAAATCAGCTCTTGACATGCAAACACAATACGGAAGTTTGGAATATAGAATGTTCTACTCAGGTACTTCGACAAACGTTGACGAAAGATGTTCGCAGCAGTATCACTTGTGATTCTGAAATTCATTGGAAGTATTTTCTTTGGAGTTGTCTGAATCTACTCCATAGTCTTCTTTTCCTTCATATTTTGCTCTGTAAATCTGGATGAGTAGCCATTCTCTTAGAGCATTTCTCGGAGGGTTTCTAGTCCTTGAACAAGTGTATCACCACTTTATGTCTTTCTAATTTTTGATTAGAGTTAGCACAAGATTATTCTTGTTTCAAGGCATTCAGCTTTGAAAGTTGGTCAGTTGCCTGTTCTAAGTGGACTTTCTTGAGTTTCTTCACTGAATTGTATTTTGTTAGTAATTCGATCGTTTTTTGTACTCATGATCATATATATAAGGATGAAAACTTCTACTTGACAAAAAACTTAACTGATTTTGGCAATTGCACTATGTAATTTTATTGTGTCCATTGTTATTATTACCGTTTTGCAGAAGATGTTACTTGATTATTCAGTTTTCGTTGGGTGACTTCTATCAACCCAAGGATATATACCGGTAGTGGTTTGTAGTTGAAGAATATTGACTTTTCCTACGAAAATATTTTTAACCGATGCTGCCATATTTGTAATAATAAATTATGGTGGTAGTAACAACAGCCAACATCATCTGATAATTTTCTATCATTTATTTCTTGTTGTTTTCAAAAAAATTTCCTAGGAGAAAGAGAAACGTTATGTCCTTTTATTGGATGGCCTAAAGATTCGTGATATTGAAACGGGATTTTTTGGTAAAAAGCATGTTTTTGCACTCTTCTACCCGGATAATCGTAATGTTTATAAGGATTATAAACAGGTGGAGTTGTGCGCTGAATCAGCTGAAATAGTCGATTCATGGAAAGCATCATTTCTACGTGCCGGTGTTTATCCAGCAAAAACTAAATCAGAGAAAGTAGAAGTATGTGTAGATGTAACTATGTTTTATTTCTTATTGCCTTCTTGATCGCACTATTGCATACTGTGTTTTTGGTATGATAAGAGGATAACGTACGTGATTGTTTGCTTGGTTTGCTGAACAGTTTAGTGGTGATGTTGAACGTCATTATTACAAAGTTATGGAGCACACTGTATGTTTTCATGGTGACGTTACTACTAGCATTCCATTTCTTTTCAAAACGGATACCTTTTACCAGAATTGCTTACTATTCAACATTTATGCAGAATAAAAATGATTTGTTAACTATGTGTTTCATTGATTTAGCCGAATAAGTAATCAGTCCACTGTAACTGTTAAAGCATGCATGATATGACAATACGTAACATTCCCAATGCCAGTCGTTTTACACACTTTCATTTCACTCCATTTAGTTCCAGGCCGTTCATAAGGGCTTGAATAAAAGGTGATGTGATATATTAGAATTTCAAGGTAGTATACATCATGGACTGACATCAGTTGGAGAATCATTGGAAACCTGGGAGCACTGGACAGTTGTATGATTTTACTGTGGGATTCCTCAGCAGGGCGCACTCGTGACTCCACTAGGGGTCGAACTCATGCGAACGCGTTGATTATTCAGCCACTGGGTAGGACACTTGGAAGTTCTGAGTTTGACCCTCAACTGGATCGTGGGTGTGTACTGCTGAAGAGTCCCATATCAGGACAAAACAACTGTCAAATGCTCTTAGGCCTTCACTGGTTCTCCAGCTGATTGCAGTATATGATGAATACTACTTTGAAATTCTAATATATCACCAGAAATTTCCATTTTCTTTCATTGAAATCTTTGTAAACAACCTTAAATTAAATTGAATGAAAGCCTCTAAAAAATGATTAACATTGGGATGTAATTGTCCTAAAATAAATAAAATCGCTTAAACCTTAAACTAAGATATACTGGAGTGTTGTTTATGCGAAAGTTTACACAAATTATCAGTTGCTGCACAGATGTGCATTAGGTAGCTGGGTGCGTCTCATCAGTCGCACAGAAAAAATTATGGGAGGTTCTATGGGTTGTTTGTTCCTAACCAGACTTTTCTTCTTTTTTTAAAAAAAAAGAATAATGTAATAATTTCGCAAGGCGTTTTAAAAAAGTGCATATAAGTGTTATTTTTGCACTCATGCCTAATATTTGTGACAAGTACAGACGAGCCATTGTAAATATTGATTTGTTTTATGCTCATATTGGTTATTGTTTCAAGTAGTAAGAGTCTGTACTGCATAGTAAGGATAAGTTAATGCATTTGTATCTGAAATTATTCTAAAAACAACTTGGCTTTTTCTCGTTTTTTCTTCTTCTAGGGATAAAAGGTTATCAAGTATTATTCTTTGTTTTCGGTGACTGTGTTTTGTTTATGTTTCTCATCGCGTTTATAAGTTACATCAACCCTTATTGGCTGGTTGCTGACTGAATCTCAAATCAGATACAAAAGGCTAATGGGGTATTTACCAACTTGTGCAGTTAAGTTGTCTGACTACATATCAGAGGATGAGTATATTGCACAGCAGCCCGCTTTACCCTACTCTACAGCTATGAATGGTGACTGTTAAAGGTAAAGAAGATGAAGAAGTTATAACCTTCTAGTCCTAGGTATCTCTGTAACATTTCTCTCCTTTGGTGTTTCCATAGACTGGTTCCCGTTGATGTTTGGTATAAAATACTGCGCAAGGAGAATTTAGTGAATGAGATTGGAAGCCCTAACTGATTGAGGTGTGTGAGACATATATTGAGCATATGGAGCTGTCGTACCCTTCAATACCTTATATTAGGTCAAGTAGGATTAGGTTGAAACAAAGTTAAGGGTCGTCAAACTGAGAAATGGCACAGCTGCTTTGTGTTTCTGACTGTTAGTGTCACTCTATACTGTTTAAGGAACCGTAGGCTTCCTGGATAAAGTCATTGAGGTGTTAATCAACCAAATGGTTAAGATATGGTGATTTAATTGAGAGTCGATTACAGTTGAGTAGATGTATTTACTCTTTGCTATCTTCAAAAATCTGAGCATCATATCCATTTTCATTATTTATCCCCTTTAACAGTGTATCTTTCTCATCTATTTTACTTCGGTTCCGTCACTTTTTCTATGGTGCTGTGAAGTGTGACAATTTGAACTATCTCACTGCATTACAGTGTTCTGCGTTGATCCATTAGTTTTTATCTGCTTTGTGTTAGATGATATTGTAAAAGGTTTTTTATGAATCCAATTTCATGAAGACAAAAATTGTATTTATCATGAGATTGAATTTTAGAATGGATTTATTTTTCACCGGGAATTACAAGTAAATCACATGCAGACATTCGTGAAATTTTTTCAAATAAAAGCGTCAAACATTTGTTCATAGTCAAACAGATCGACCAAATCAACGTAAAACCTCGAATATAACTGCATTGGTTCTAGAACAAGTGAATGGAATAAGACTGACATCAAAGTAAACAAAGCTATGTGAAAGAATAAACAATTTGACGATAAAGGTTATGGAGAATATTCAAGCTTTAGATGACGTTGAGAAGTGAATGTATCCACGCTGTTGTGACCGATTTTCAGCTATTTCTCTAAGTCCTCAACCATTGATTCCTATCATCTCTGAGCTTTATCATCATTCATCTCAAAAATACCTTATTGTATAGTGCTCATTGGTGGCATGCTTCCAGATGGATATCAAGAAGTTCTAATGAGGAGCAGTGACCTGTGGGGTCAACCAGTTGGAAGAAAGCGGATACCATCTGAAGACTTTGGGTGGTGGTCACGCTATATCGCGAATTGACAGCAGTTGGAAACTGTGAAGCACTGAACTCCGACACAGAGGCTGGATAGTTAACGCGTTCTCCATGAAACCTGAAGGAATTCTTATAATTTATTGAGCAGAGTAAAGCAACATTGTAATGAAAGTAACATTTGGCTTCGAACACACAGTTAATTTCAGTTAAATAAACTGAATTACAAAGAATAAGAACAAAAGTAATTTTAACAAAAACGGGTAGTCCACATAGTACTCCTATGAGATTGAGCAACACCACTGGTAAGAGAACATGGCAATAAGTAGATGCTCAAATACAGAGACAAAAACATGACTGCAAACGTGATATAGGAGGGATTTTTAATGGTAATAACAATCACTCTACTGCAGACAATAACATTTTGTACAACTTGAAATTCTCAATGTGATATTTCAACAAACTTACTACTTGTACAATATATTCAAATCAAATAAACTTGACAGTTGAACAATGTTAATAGAAACACCATGATAGGCAGTAATGCACAACAACTAGTGGTTTTCATGTTGTTGTTATCCAGTTTGTATGTTACTGGACATGGGTTGGATAGGAAAGAACACGTGAGTTTAGTGATGGAGGTTTATTCATCCTTATGAAAATTTTCTGTTCCATCTTCATGTTGCTGTAATAGCTATGTGATACATTGTTGTACGTTCAGGCGCCAACTACCGTTGACTGTTATACTTCCCCGTAATCTTGTTGTTAACCCATCTAACGATAAGTTGAAGATATTTTAAGAGTGCGCTATGGTGTGACCTTGGTAACCATGTCGTTATGTGTTAGTGTGAAGGGTGAGAAGTTGTTTGCAATCTGTAATTCGCTGGACTATGTGACTCATCAGACATATGTTTCTGATATTGAGAATAGTAACAACACCACACTATGGTATATTAACCAGTGGTGTTTACTTTGTAGGCATGAGAATACCAAAATTTTGGGAATTAATTTGATTATCTCATGGGAAGTATGTTATGTTTAATTTTTGCCAGATTACTTGATTTGTAATCAGTTTTGTTGAGATTGAATTGCACTTTTCTATCTCAAGTTTAAACGTTTGCTTGGTTGGTTTCAAGGCAGTTTGCTTTTATCGAACTGAGAGTAGTAAGAGGATTACGGAATACCATACAGTACGTAGAGGCTGTTTCATCTTTATAAAAGACTTATCATAAGATCATACCTATCAAGACATACAGTTCTGGGTCTAGTACTGCCGACTTTCATAACGGTACCGCTGAGTACTAGACTAGATTTTAGCGGAGTTTCATATAGATATTGCAATTTTTTATGAAGTTGATGAGTTTCACTCTGTTAACATCTCTGTAAGATGTTGAATGACAAAACTGTTTGTAAAATTATCTTAAAAACATCATGATTTTCCCCAAGTTGACAAGCAACTATTTTATCATCATTTTCAGGTGTATTTTAAATACCTTAAGAGATATTGTGTTTGTTCACTGTTTCAGACAGAGTAGATTGTTTAGGCAGAATTTAGTGTGTAATAAACGAAGAAGATGGATTTTACAGTCTAATCAATTTATTCATTAGAATACCTATAAGAAAAAAAAATGGAAATGCTGCTGTTAAGAAGACTACTTTCTTGATCACACTGTGTTACTGCCTTCTTAGGGTTATTCAGCCTAGTGTAAAGAAATGTGATGACATCAGGTTATGGTTTGTTTCTATAACAAGAACTAGTTTCGGTCTCATTTGTGGTGGCAGTAGGAGGAATACAATATTGACCAGTCAAAGTGTTTTGAGTTGAATCCCCTCTAGCCTTTTTTCCACATAAGAAGACAAGTTACGTGGTTTTGTTAGCGTATTCGCCAGTCAAATGTAATATATGTGTTTTTAGGTATTTCTCTTTTCAGTTAGAAAGTAATGTGATTCATCCAATGTTTGGTTTAATCACACCTTTTATTTGGTGTTTGCCCTCTGGGAGGGAATCGTTCACCTTCCATCGAACTATTTTCAGGAGGATTGAACCTAGGTTATTTATATAATTGAAGTTATAGGAGTCCCAGCGAACAACTTCCACATTTACGTCCAGAAAGCAATTGTACGATAATTATTCCTGATGTGGGAAGCACAACTTATGGACTAAATTTGAGCCTGTCACTTTCCTATTATTTGACGTAATGTAATTCAACTCTTATGAGTATTTAACGTTTACAGGTTATGTATGATTATAAACAGAGCATAACTGTTATTCCATCCTTATTTCTTGACCTAGTTTTAAGTATGGGAAAATATTTTCTCTCTACCACTCCGTGCCTTCACTTAGGATTATTATTGTTACCATTATTATTATTATTATTATTATTATTATTATTATTATTATTATTATTATTATTATTATTACTGTTATCATTATAGTAGTTATTATTAGTACTACGAGTGTTTACAGATGGTGTTTGTGGTCGATAACATGCCTAAGTCACGTAAAGATTCAAACTGTTGACCTTCATTTAAACGACCGCTCCAGATATTATTAATGACCAGTAGTTTTGTTAATTTTGCTATGATTTATTTTAAAATCTTCATGTTATTTATCGGTGGGTATCAGAAATCAGATTCTGGAAATTGTACAACACAGAATATTTATTACATACCTTACATTCATTCATTAAAATAAAAATGGATTTTCACTATTAGATGTACATTCTACTAACAATGTAACGATTCATCTTTTTACTATCTTCACAGGTTGTTACCAATTTTTTCTTGCTTCATACTTTGATTCTACTTACTAAACAAAATGATTAATTATTTTCTAGGGAATGTTCATCACTAAATGACATCAATTGGAGAACCATTGAAAACCTAAGAGCATTGGACAGTTGTCTCATCCTGGTACGGGACTGCTCAGCAGTATGCAGCAGTGATGTAGTTAGGAATCGAATTTAGCAGGTTCACTTCCCAGGGCGAGTGGTTTCACCACTCATCCACTTGGTGCTTGACCTGGAGTTCGTGATTTCGACCCTAGGTGAGTGCATGCTGCTGCGGAGTCCCGTACTAGGACTAAACAGCTGTCCATTTCTTCCACATTTCCAATGGTTCTCCAACTGATGTGAGTCCGTGACGGATAATAATTTAAAAATGAGATCTCCATTAATCTCAAAATAGATTAGTTATTTCACGGTTTTTTCTATTTTATTTTTCTTTGAAATTGTTAGTTCGGACGTGTCAACCATTCTATTTGTTCGTGGGATATTTTTGGAATCTTTTCTTAGTTAACTTTTTGCTTGCTGTTATGCCTAGGTTCGTTTCAAGCACGCATAAGTGTTTCTTTCTTTTCAGTTAAAAATAGTTGTTTTTCCTTTGAATCTGATCACTGTCTGAGTAACTTTTCAAAAATGCCTTTCTGTACAAATTTGATTATGATATTCTGCTTCAAAAGTTTTCCATCAGTTTTGTGATTTTCCATTGTCTGAAAGATAATAAAAGGCTTTTATGCTGAGATTAACCGCAATATCTCTCATCTTACAACGTTGTCTATCACCTATAGAAGGAGTGCATAAATAAACATAACAACCAACCCTTAGGCCTATGACTTTCTTGTAATGGTATCTATATAAGAGCAGTTTACTGAAAATGTTGAGATGCCGGAGAATAATTGTAGTTCAGCCGCATGATTTTGATGGTATTGTGTTTTCTGAACTGGATGGTGTAATCGTGAACCTTTCACCGTCATTTTAGACGACATCAGCACAAACCTCAGAAAGAAATGAGCTATAGCGTTTTCACCACATATCTCACTTTCTCAAATTTATACTGATAATGCCTAGAATGACAATGAAATTTCTTTACGATTAAATCATCCAGCTCAGAGAACATGTCATCAACATTACTGAAAATGTATTGTATAAGATAACTCCTTGACCTACAGTTACATTCTGTGTATCAATTTCAATTAGTTTAGTTTTCTGTGATTCCCATTTCATTTATATGTGGAAGTGAGAAGTGATGAAGATGTTGTGATAGATAAAAATACTGACCAGTATAGTACAACCTCATATTTCCTTTTTCCATTGACGATGGTTATTCAGAATACTGGAGAATTTAGTTAACTTGATACTTAACCTGAAACTAGAATGCTAACTAAATATTGAATCTTACTAACTTCTTTGCCTGTTGTTTCCCACTCATCTTTTCTCTAGCAAAGTGACAATTTATCTCTAGATTCTAGTGAACCGCAACTTGAACGTCAAGTGGAAATTATTCGTAACCTAGTGGATTCTTATATGAAGATTGTGATTAAAACCCAGTTGGATTTAGTACCGAAACTGCTGATGCATATGCTTGTTAACGAGGTAAATTAATCAAATTGTTGTTTGTTCATCAGAACATGATGCGAAGTCATTGAAAAGAATATTCTTTATTCATATTCAACTTCTAATATGCGAAATTGGAATCTTTAAGTGTTTTGTTTTGTTTGATTTAATAATAAAATGACTACTGAAGCATTCTTTCAGTGATGTAGATTGAAAACAAATAGGAGATATAAAAAGGGATACAGAGTTTGATAAATTTATAAGCTTAAAAAGCTCTTCTTTCTTCGGTTTCACCACCTGCATACCTAATGATCGGCGATTTAAGACAAATGAAATATACAACGAAATGGGATTAGAAATTGAATATGTTCCATGTTGATAGACCAGTGAAAGTTATCATTCTGTTATTTATTTGTCCTTTTTCGTCAATAATGTCAAACTGACTACGTTTGTATGGTATTCAGCCAAAGAGTTTTATCTTCCTTCTATTCTTCCTTCTTTCTACTCACTGCATATTTGGGGGGAAAATGAAGCGCACTTAGCATCATTGTGCATGTTCATGCACTAGGCAGTGAGACACACCTGATATGTGAGGGCCAAGGATATTAACTGGCTGCTGGAACTTCCGTAGGTGGAACGGTGTTCAAACCCGTTATTCATTGTTTGGAAGTCAACTTCTTAAGTCAATGAGCCACAGCTCCACTTCATTGCGTATTAGTTCTGAATGATTCCTACTGTTTGTTCTAAACTCTGTTTTCTGTTGAAGTGCTTTATTTTTCCTACTGAGTGGTTTTATTCATAAACTTTTGTCAACAGACGAAGTTGTGGTACATTTCTTGCAAATCTACTAGATGAAAGGAATTAAACTTACTTTGATTTTAGCAATTACTTAGCGTATTATGATTTCAGCAACGTGTACTTTTGTTTGACACTTTTAGTTTCCCGTTTCTATACTGGGTCGAATTGCTCAACCTCCGTTGTCAAATGATCTCCTACGCGGATGCCTTGATGCTGCCTGATTACTCGTTATGTTATAGTCCGCTGGATGGCTAGCATTGAAATACAGAATACGCGGTTCGTCGTATTTGGAACTTGTCAGGTGGACGTACCTCCATCTCAATGAGTGATGTTTGCTCCCACTGAAAAGGGAACCCAGCATCTATCACTTCAAACGTCAAAGCGTTATCCACTAGTTGCAGAGAGTCCGACCAATCCAATCCAGAAAAACGATAGAAATTTACAAGTAATAATAAATAAGAGATGGCTCTCCTTCCCTGGTGTCCTAGTGGACAACGCTTTGACGTCTAAAGCCATGGGCACTGGGTTCGAGTCCCAATGAAAACAACCACTTACTGGGCTTCAGGCACATCCTGTTGACGAGTCCCAACTAGGACGAAACGTGAGTCCTGGATTCCACTGCTAGTCACCAAGCAAATTATGACAAAAATGTGTAATGTGTAAATGATCTAATTTTTTGAGCTGAGTAGTATTCATCTAGAAGGTTTTCTGTGAACTTGTACGATTTACGATGCACCATTTTAGTCGATAATCGCATTTATAGGAGGTATCTGCACCGGATTATTTCCTTCAGTTGTTAATTGTCGCTTTATTTCTTATTGTGACTGTTATTTTAATTCTAAAATTGTTTTTAATTTGTTTATAAGGATGGCTTTGTGTGACCATGTTATGTTTATATGGTGGTACTTTATTACATTTCTATGCAATAAACGAGTTATTCCGTATTATGATTGTAGTCAACTAATTCATACCACCGTTCGTTTTTTCATTGGTAATTAGGCATTCTGAGGATACATCAGTCATTGTTCATACAACGTTTGGGAATTTTTGTCGCTTTGCTTTCTTATGATGGATTCAACGTTTCTCAAAGCATTCCCCCTTGATCTAAAGAGTTTTCATGCTGGTGTGACACACCAGATCACTATAACAGCTGACAGTCACAAGCGTTCTTAATCTAACCAGTATATACATTACTATAGTTCATCCTTCGAATTCCCCTCTTAACTGGTTTATCGCTATTAAAGTACTATGGCAATGTTTTACTGGATTATGCATTCGACTTTCGACCGACTGGTTGTTAGTTTGAATTATATTTTACCTATTGAAGTTTAGGACAGCCATATAGCATCATTAGGAACAAGTTAATTATGGGAGTTCGGTAGTAGTGATGGACATTGGCTAGAAGTGAAGTCCAGGACTCAGGTTCCGTTCTATTTGGGACTCGTCAGCAGGACCTACCTGCCTTCAAACAAGTGATTTTATTTCCACTAAGGCTCGAACTCAGGACCGATTGCTTCAAACGGCAGAGCGTTATCCACCAGACCGCTGAGTTCGGTTTTTATACGTTAACTGCCAGGAAATTATAGAATGCTTTGTTATTTGTTGTTGATTAAATTAACAGTTTCATGCAACTCTTCAACTGTAAGCCTCTTCAGATTAATTTCCCCGTTTAAATTCGTATTAATTCCACGTACCATTGAAGCTCTGTTACATATACCTTTCAATTAGTTTACATACCATTTTCAAGTTGTTTTGCAGGTTGTTGTATTTCCTATTTTATTGCATTGTATTTTTTCTTATTGTTTTTGTTTATGGTGTGGTGCATACAAATATTAAGGAAACTCTCCTCTTTCACTTTTTATCAATTTTCTTAGATTAAGGGCTTTTTGAAGGGGGAATTATTGCCGAATTTATACCAAGCTGGCGATTTGGTAAGATGGAATATACTTATGTTCATTTTTATTTTTTTATTTTAGATAATCATGCAAATATGTCATAGATTCTTCCTTCCCTATCTTATTTTTTTAATTCTTCATATCTGTTCACCGGGTGACTATACTTTCATATGAAGTCCTGTCCTATTGTGTGTGTGTGTGTGTGTGTGTGTTATAAATACAGTAAACCTCATGGCTTTTGCTGACTATCGATTATTTAGACTTGAGTTGGTTAAAATACAGTTTGACGAAATATTACATTGATGCAATTCGTCACATTTTGGAAAAGCATGTCAAAAGTATGGAAAAAAAGAAACGGAATGCTGAAATAGACTGAAAGATGTTCATGAACTGATGTGGCAAACGCATGATTGAATGGGAGATACATGATATAGGGATATTTCCTTCTGTTATTGGTTTTAAAGTTTATTGTCTCTGTTCTCCAGCTACTGTTTTACTTCATCGCTTAGATTTCAGATCGTAAACACACTTTTAGTTCACTTGACAAATTTGAGCAATGCAAGAACAAATACATTTGTAGAATAAAATGAGCTCATTTTTTCACGACTTTTCATAAGCTGCAAACAGCCTACAATTGAAATGAAGTATTGGTAATAATGATGGTATAACATTTTAAATAAGTAGAAATAAATGAAGATTTGAAATCTAGGATTAACAATGTGGTAGTTAGTCAAGGAAACACAACTTTAATAATCACAAATTAATGGCAATTTATATCTGATGAGATAGAAAATTCTGGAGCTGTGTAATGCGGGGAGGGAGCGACAAAAGAAAATGAGTGTAGAAGAAAGGACTGTTTAATAGCTAATAGGTTGCGTAATTACATGAAAAACTAGAAAATCGTCGGGTGATTAACAGTCATTAAGTAATTAATGAAGAGATGATGCAATCAAAAAAGACTATTTACATATATATGCACAAAATTATATACAGTTACCAGGGTAAAGAAAGGTTAGTTACAGTTTCTTTCTCAGTATATGAGTCAGGTTGAAAATGTTCGATGGTGAGAGCTTCCGCGAACTGTAACAGACATGGTGTTCTTTATTCTTTGATTATCTTGAGGGATTGAGAAACATTTATTTGATGTCCTACTTCCATCAGGTGCTTGACGGTTGTGCTCTTAAAGACCTTGCTGCCTTTCAGATACAGATTTCTCGGAATATGTTCATAAATCGAATAGATGCCTTTCTTTCCGTCCGTCTTTGACTCACTACCTTATTGTTAATCCTAGATCTCAAATCTCTACTTTTACATATTTAAAGTATGCTATGCCATTATTACTACTAATACTTCATTTCAGTTTTAGGATGTTTGCAGTTGATGAAAGACAATGAAGTGAAATGAGCTCTTTTTTACTCTGAAAATGTCTTTTTTTTCTTGCATTATTCGAACATACCTTTCTCCCGTGTATCTAAAACATAAAGTCACAGACTCTATGAACTGATCCAGTTACGTAAGAGTTCCTCTTACGTTTCTGCCCCTGATATACACACTTTTCACCTTGTGTTTGCAGAATCAGTGGCTGGTTGCAGTGCATCCATAGCCATCCGATGCTTTCTACTTTCATATCTGATTGTTCAAACTGAGAATAGATGCTTTCACTTTTCGCAACTATCAATGATTTCTCATTGATTTCCCGTTGCTCCGTTTTATGACGCAATTTACTGTGAAACATTAGATGTGGCACTTCAGTGATGTACGCTAAACGTTGAACTCACTACATCAGGATGTCATACTTTTAATTCTATACTAGATCTGTTTATTTGATATATGGGACACAATGATACGGTTTTATTTACTTGATGACGTTTCGAGCATAAATCATTGCTCGTAATCAAATCTATATCATATTGACATTGATATGTAGGCGAACAGAAGGAGTAGTAATGGAATCAACAATATCGCCAGTCGTAGCATATATATTTATGAGTAGTTAGGAAAACATGGCTTTACAAATGTTTAATCCTGCACCTAAGATGTAGTGGCGATCTGTAGGTGACACGTTTACTGTATTGACATCGGCACATATCGACAATTTCCTCACACATATAAACTCAGTAGTGGGCGCAATCTAATTCACTTATAAAGTGGAAAATGAACAAGGCGAATTACCAGTGTTAGATTACAGAATAAAACGAAGGGTAGATGGTTGTTTGAATAGCACTGTCTATAGAAAGCCGACACATTCCAGTAGTTATCTAGACTTCAAGTCATCTCATCAAATGTTTGTTAAGGCAGGTTTAGTTAAATGTCTAAGTGAAAGAGCTAGAAAACTGACTAGTCAGTGCAAAGACCTAAACAAGAAACTGAAACATAAAAGAATTACTAATAGTTAATAATTATCCTCTACAGCTTACTAAAAAAAAGACAGCTGGATAAGATCAGTAATCTGGAAAAAAACTCGGCTATTGCAATGGATGCATTAACACAACCACACATTAGGGTGGTATAAGGCCACTTTACTTAGGTCCAGTACAATTGAGTGGAGAGATTGATTGTTGAAGCTTTGTTCATCGAATGTAATAGAAATGATGCAGCACCTACACCAGAGATATGCGAAATTTTACTACTGATAAAAACAAATAACATGAGGTGAGAAAACTATAAAAATCAGATATCAAAAGTAGTGAGGTTACAATAACATGATTATGAGCAATAATTTATGCTCGAGACGTCATGAAGTAAATAATACTGCAGCACTACGTGCTGTATATCAAATAAGCCAATTTAATATAGAATTACTTCCTATCACGGTGTGCAAGTTTTACATTTATATTAATGTTATAATTTTAGCTGAAGACAATACTTTTCACTTGTATTGAAGCAAAGTCCAGTATAGCAGCAGGGATTGGTGGTTGGAAAATTATAAACAAAAGTGATAAAATTAAACCTTGTAATAAATTTACATTAATAAATATTCTTCTTTTCGGTATGTAAACGCGCAGGGATTTTTCTGTCGATACTCTCACTCTGTGTTCTGCCTTATTCTCTCCCGGAAGTTCACTAGTCGACCATCATGCCTTTTTTTGTTTTCCGACGTCGTTATTACTTACTACCGACATATATTATTATAAGTAGCGTTTACCCACGATACTGTAGTGACTGATAGTTAAATTTCATTTTTGTTGAATACTCTATCTGTTTATGCTTGATTGTGGATAATATTTCTATGCTTCAGAATACACTAATGTCTGAATCATTGATTGTTCAACAAAAACGTGACGAAATGGTTCGTGTTTATGATGCTATGAAGGAGGCGTTAAATATCATCAGTGAAGTATCTATGTCTACTGTGTCGACACCAGTCCCCCCTCCAGTTAACGATGATTGGTTGCAGGTAAGAGTTTGTTTAAAAATTCCAACCCCTCTCCGTATTGCATTCTATTTACTGTACATTTTTTTCCCCACAACGAATTATTTATGGTTATTTTTAGGTGATGTAGTGTCTTTGTTTTATCTCCCCTTATTTGTGTTTTCGTGTAATTGAATTATTCACTAAATTACTCATTCATTTATCATTCAGTTACATCAACAAAAGTTTACCCAAATAATATGATCTCAGATAATCTCATTATTTACATTGATATTTCGGTCATTCCAAACTTTTACCCGGAATTCTCTTGCATGCACACTGTATTGTATGCTTCCGAATGTATTGACCATCTATGTTATTTGCTATTTTGAAGAGATTCACATAACAAAATTGTGATGTTTTGTGTTATTTTTACTGGTTATCAAACCTACTGGAGTCTTAGATAAGTTTCATCTTACGTTCTGTTTCATCAATTGCATACATGCTAATATAAGATATTAGAAGTGCAAAACCTAAAATTTATCAGCGAAATCGTAGAATTGTGTAATATGTTAAGTTCTTTACATTATGACTTTTTTCATGAAAAAGGCATTGTGAATACCAGATGTTTTCATTAATTTGCCGAAACCCTTTCATTATTTTCATACTGATTTATTTTCATCTGTCTTTATTTGAACCTTCTTTGCCCTGTAGTCTGATAATTCAGGAGGACTAACTGCTCCTGGATCTACAGGTCCGCCTCCTCCTAGTCCAACAGCAAATCGTCGTCCACCACCTCCGCCTCCTGGTGGCTGGAATTCAAGTAGTACTGGTTCCATTAAAGGTTCTGCTCCTAGACAAGCACCATCAGTTCCTGGGAAAACAGGTGCTGCACAGTTACCTTCACCACTTATTCCGCAGTGAGTTATTTGAAAATAATTAACAATATTCACTTACATGAAATTCCTTCAACTCAGCTCTCACTGTAATACGTTACTAAAGGGATAGACAGTGAAACTTATGAATTTCTCTGCTTCTTCAAAAATTTTTTTCAAGCATAACCTATAACTGACAACATATCGGAAGAAAATTCGTCTTCAGCTCAAAGTTAGGGAAGACACAACGTGGTATATCTTTTTCAAGCTACCACATTTTGTAACAAAGATAAAACTGATGACTAGGATATAACACTGAAATGAACTAAGGGGAAGTATTAGTGATGGAGTTAGGAATAGCCACAAAGTAGAATTTTTCCAAGATTTATATCTATATCGCTGTATGCAACTTTGTGTTATGCAAAGTTCTATTATTACGCCCACATCTTTGAAGTGACTTATGGTTTCTCAAGTGACTCATTACAAAGATTGATGTTATTCGTGCACAAAATCTGTCCACAGAGATTAAGAGGCTGATATTAACAGTTGAATGCTCTCTTTATTATCGGAGTCCCTTGTTACCTCTTGATCAATCTGTGTAATCCGGCTACGACTGGGATTCCTATTTTCTAGGATTAAATGACATGCTGACGACTTCAATCATCCATCTTTGTAATGTTTATTTATTGACGTAGGCCGTTTTGGAGTTTTGCTTCTGAAATTAGGCATACTTGGTTGTACTGCATCATTACAGACATTACTTTAGTAATAAGCGGTGTTAATACGACTACTAAATCTCTTTTTTTCCTACATCACTGACTTGTTGGAGGGTGTATATTTATGGATAGTAGACACAATAAAATGAAATATTTGGATGCTGTTGTATGTTTACTCGTTGTAAAAATTGTTGTTCTCTTAAATGACATTTGATAATAATAATATTGATTATCTTTTTGTTGTGTATGCTGTATATGTTGTCATTTGTTTCTTTGTTGTTCATTTTGCACGTTTCATTGTTATCAATGCACCTTTTCTACGATCATTGCTACCACCAATTCTATGATAATCACTGCAATTATCTATTTCATACATGTATGCACTTCGTATACAATAACATAGACGATTATATCCTGCTGATATGTATTCTATTACAAAAGATCCAAATCTCCCTGGACTGTTAAACTCCATGACAAACTATCCGCTAATACCACCGTCTATTCCCGCGTAAGTGAATACATGCTATCGTATGTTTGTCATGAGAAGTGAGTGTTTTTCTTATTTAACAACTGTTTGTTTGAATTGAAAGCTTTTGTATGCGTTCACTTGCGTTTAGGTTTACCGATATAAAACCTAACAAAACATTTGTCTTTATAAGCTGTCTTGAAGCAAAATAATATTGATCTTGGTTAGAGGCAATCGGCAGGAAGCATTGCATTTAGACTTCTCGCTTGTTGGCACTTATCAGTAAGTTGTTCCTTCTGAGACTCGGACCCGTGTCACTCAGTGTTGTAGTCAACAATCTTACCAACAAGCTATTCTGGTTGCCACTGACCTGTAGCACTAGAGCAGAGAAATTGATTAGTCACTGTGAAGTAACCCACTTCATGTTGTCTAGTCCTTTGCGCTCACCGACTTTTGTCGATCATTCTGCGATTTGGCCAACAAGCTAGGAGACTCATCATCATGGTGTACTAACACCTATCAAAATGAACCGCGATTACCAGCCTCATAGTTTGGTGGCCACATTGCAAACGTATCGACAGAATTCGATCCGTACTCAAAACTAGATTAGTCAAAACAGGGCAACAACAGTCTAGTAAGGAAACTGTACGAATTGAAATAAAATCAAAATGTCATATAATGGTGCCGTATGTGTATATCCTACAAAGATTCTCCTAAAAAATAGATGGAAGTAGAAAGTCGAATACTGTGAAATTTAGAACTACAGAGTTTTAAGTTAGTGAGTAAATGAGTTGACAATAATCAGTAAAGAAATTTAATAAAGGATAATGAGTAAAACTCAGTAGATTAAGATTGGGGTTCATTGTGAATTTAAAATCTAATGACAAAGCAATGGTGTAATCGAATAAGTGGGAGGTTAAGAAATTAGCTTATCAGGGGAATTGAAAAGTAACGATGGTTTTCTCATGGATACATAAGTCTGGTTTCAGGCGTTTAATTGCAGTGACTTCATCGAAACAAAGATTTAAATTATTCTCTTCATCGATAACTTTGAACAATTCCAAAGCACCTGCTTGATGTTCTGTTCAGTTAGTGCTTTGTAAATAAACTATTGAGGACACGTGCTCCTTCAATCGTAGGCTCTTTGGGACACGTTCAAAATATAGATAGTGAGCCATTCTTTCTGTTCTTCCAGTGTAACTGCTGCGGCAGATACATGTGAATTATTACACGTAATTGGATGCAACATATGACGGGCACCTGCTAGGTTTTCATTGTATATGTGAGTAAGAAGTATGAAACAGAGGAACAAGGTTTCCTGCAGAATAAGTCCTGGATTGCCAGTGCAGTGCATAGTCTTCAGCTTACCGTCATCACCTTTGAAGCTGAGGTGAATGAAGACTGGCTGGTTACTGACTGTATTTTCTCAATTCCACTGCATTATTTCTTGCCGTATTTGTTGATGAGGCTTTGTGGGTATCCGTTTACTGGGATACTTATCAAAAATCAGTAGTTCCTCTTTAAGTTTATTTTCTGAGCATATTCTTCATACTCTACAGAACAGCATCTTAACCAATCCCCGTTTATAGTTGACTGAATAGAAACCAATGAAATTAAGGTAAGGACGATTCCACATGCCCTTTCGATGGACAGATCGTTGAAGTGTTTCATCAATTCTACGTTTAATTATGGTTCCCAGAAAGTTGAATTTACCACTTTATTCCTGTTCCACTATGAAATTAATGTTTTTGTGCACTGTTGAATATTCCAGGCACTTATGATGCTTGTTGTAAATATTTACATAGAATGTTGTCTCATCGGTTGCACATTTGAGTTTTTCACCTTGAAATTAGCCATGAAAATATCTGCTAATATAGGATTTAAGGGACTGAAGATTACTACCTCGCCAGCTTAGCAATATCAGTTATTATCAAACTGGAACTAGGCATCCTTCATACATATTAAAAGCTTCTTGAATTTAGTTATTAGCAGAAGGAGGAAACCGGTGTGTGTGAATAAATGATTCACATCAATGGACAACATAAACACTTTCGAGACATTAATTTGATTTGCTGAAACAGACGAGTTTTGCATAGTGTATTTAACGTAGCAGTATGTATCCTAGGTACACCAAGCGAAAGTGGAAAGGTGAGGTCCATGAAATTTTGAAACGCAATTCCGATGAACACAAAATTATCAATTTCATTATCCTGAACAAAGTTGCAAATCATCAGAAATTAGTAAGACTAAAAGTAGCAAATGGTACATACTGCCCATGCATGAATAAAATCAAATTCGAATGCTAGAAAAAAATTATCAATATTCGCCTTGCGCTAAATTGAAAGTAGAAATTTCATCGATCTTGAAAAAAATTATTCCATCATTCACACATAGAATGATTCTTTTCACAAACTATGCTATTTCACCCAATCTAAAGCCACTAAAATACAAGGAAGATTAGACTTATGACCAGTGTGACAGATGGTAACTATTAAAGATTACTAATAACAACATTTGTTTAGATTTAGTCTAAGAATGACATTAGAGGGACAATATTATGCATACGACATCATGATTAAGCATAGTTTCTCGTACATTGAAGTGATATAACACGAACCATTAACAGACGTACAGAAGTAGTTTTACATATATTCTAACCTTTTGACAGTGTCATGTGTATTTGTGATGCCTAGTTAAATCTAATCAGTAGGGAGAGAACATAACAGCAATCGCCTGTCTAGTGACTTATAATCAAGTTCATCTTTTCAATTAGGAAGTTGTTGCCTACCCAATGAAAAGCTCCAAAGGAATCTTATGCTAACTTTTTAAGCATAACAGAATCAAATCTTCTTGGAAATGGAAATCGAATGGAATATACGGCCTTCAATAATGATGGGTCAATCTCTGTACAGATATTTCTGCATCTATTCGCAAGGTAAATCGCTGTCATGAGGTTGATATCGCTTAAATATGGTCATAACAGTGCAAAGATATTCACTTTTAATAAGCTCCAAGGATCTGAACGGTTTAATAACCTTCGTCTCTTGATCCTCTGTTATGTGATACGGAAGGTTCGATTAGCTTTTACCAACTTATGGCACCGTCGTAATATCTAGTTGCCTCTTAAGGGTTGAATGTACTGCACTACAGTTCACAGTGTTCTGCAATATGTCTACAGCAAAGGTAAAGGAAATAAGAAGGCTTCACTTGTTCGATCACCGTTACCTTTGTAGCATAGGCTTTGTGTCATGGTATTACCGCGTCAGTAATGGAGAAGTCAACCGTAGAGTTCTAGTCAAAAGAAGTAAGTTAGTTTTGTTGTCGTGAACTTTTACACGTGCCCAATCGCCATCTGCCTTGTCGCACAATGTTAGCTGATGCAGGTGTTGGAAGAAGGTCAGGGCGACCAGACTGATAAATGACGTCATTGAATGAAGTCTTTGGTTGTTGATTTCAGCCGTGTAAACTTTCCTGTTGGAATGGGATCCACGCGACAATTGTAACCAGTAGTTGGAGACTCTAAGTGTTAATGGTTCAGAATCTATGTTAGTGGCGCAGATGTATCCTCACACTGTCCTCAATTTAATCGTCGTAGTGAACTCAGTATTCTCTCATTTCTGCTTTCTTTTTTTTTACTACTTCCTCTTACTTTTGATCTATTCTTCTGTATTTCTTTATCTCTTACTGTATTGTTTTCTTGCTTGGTGTGATTTTATGGAGAGTCGCAACCTGGACCGTTGATCAGTAATACCTAGTCCTATGTTGATATTGATGATTATGCCGATGAGACATTTCTGCCAGCTTTCACACACTTTTTTTCCTCTACTGAATCAAAATCGAAATACACTTAGCAGTTTTGTGCATTTTCGTGCAATAGGGAATCAGTCAAATCTATTGCGTGAGGACTTACGATACTACCTGGTTGCCCAACCTAGTTAGGCGAAGCGAGGCTCGAAAGCGTGACTGATTTGTTGAAAGTCATCTCCCTAAACCAATGAATCACAGCGCCACCCTTTTTCTTTTTTATATGCTTATGTGAAACGTGACACACTTTAATCTGATGCACTTGTGTGCTTGGTTCTACGCTAACTACGATAACTATTTCAGCTCCACTTGATACTGATGCATGATTGGTTGTAATTTTCTCCATGTCAGTTTGTTCTTGCAATCTTTCTTGTGGTATGTGTATATAATAACCTTTTATTTGTTGTGTAGTGATATTTTTTCCAACTTGGAAGTGTTTTTAAATACTACTTAAACTTAAAAATATCAAAATTTCCTATAAATATGTGATTTATTATGAAACTGAAGGACAGAAATTCTGTCTAGCGCTATGTGTTGACTTATATGTTGATGGAGAAACCATCGTTAAGATATGTTCATCAGAAAAGATGACATGTCTCACAGTTATCGTGCTTAGTTTATCTTATATAGTTTATTGTGTTAACTAATCAGGTAAATTTGAACTTCACTACAATGGTCATTGAAATATTCCAAATGGTGTGCATCTACTTAAGGATAAAATGTGAGATTGTAATATCTGTTTGATTTGTATTACAACAGTGTGGTATCCGTATTAGTTATGAGATGTTGATATCTAAAAAATGAAACTAATAACGACATATTATATTTGTTGATGAAGCCTTCAGCGTCTAGTTATTTCATTGGAAAAAGTTATGGTCAACTTAAAAAGCTCTTTAGACGGATCTTAGAATTATATTCATTAGAAAAAGTATACGCATTGTTTTCTATCTACATTTCTGATTCCAAGGGTTTAGAGATGTTAACTGTCTTTTGAAATTTAACTGCATATTCTTACATTTTTGTTTCTTCACACATTTGAATTCTCACGCGAAAGTCACATTTTTCTTGATTTACTTATGAATTACACCGTTGTTTATTCAGCAATCCATTTCCGTATCCACTATCCAGTGGCACTAGACTATTTTTTTTAGCAACAAGTTTATCCGTTTCGTAAAAGGATGAGACTTCATTTCTACATTTGATTGAGAATTGGACTGGTGGTTAATTTCTTACTGATTTCATCCTAATGCAAAGTACACAGAATACTTGCTTGCTGAAGTTCATCCAGGAAAGTATGATATCCTTTTTTTTTGACTACTTTAAATTCACAGTTCCTTCTTTCTACCTGAAAGTTGATTTAGACGATCGTTTTATGTGTAAATGAAAAAGGTTTCTAACACTAATATTGATTGAAAGTTGGTTTCCTTTTGCATTTAGTCCCAGGAACTGCTAAACCTTTATAGATTGTTAACATTGGGGATATTAATTTTCGTGAAACATGTGTACTCTTCATTTGTGTACACCTAAATGTTCAGTATATGCATACATTAATATATTCTGATATCATCTTTTTATTTTTTAGGCGTCGTTGATACAAACTACTCCACTTATATAAAGTGATCAAGCTTTCAATTTATCAAGTTATTTATTTCGAAGTTGGCATTTCATTCTCTGCAAATATAAGCAAATGGTAGTGAAGTAAACATGAATACAACTGAATAAGTTACTTCCCGGCTTCTTTGAAACTGAATGTGGAATAACTCAGAAAGAAAAATGCATTTATCATATAATACATTTTAATTTATCTTTCATCCTTTTTCTCCTTTCGATTCTGAGTTATCCTTCATTCAGTTTCAAAGAAGCCAGGAAGTAACTTATTCAACTGTATTCATGCTTACTTCACTATCCTTGTTCTCTTTTACAAATCCCCCCTCATATGCTGACTTATTGTTTCACGTGTTTCTTTTTCAACTCCTTTCTTTTTGTTTACTCTATATGTATACATATTTAAGGGATGAATTCCTATTCTTTGTATTTCTTTAGACTCCTTTTGTGTTCCTCTCTCTTCCTTTTTAGTTCTTTCTTATTATATATATAGCATACTCATACATCACAGTCATCGATTTTGTTGACGTCATTATTGAAATCATCATTATCGTTGTCACCTTTCTTCTCGGCATGCACACCTGTTGATAATTACTACTTTCTTTTATTTCTTCTACGATTATATTACAATAACTATATTACCAATGCGGTCAATTACTGAGAACACTACACAACTGTTGTCGGTTCTATTATTGTCCATAGTTCATGCTGGTGACACAGTTGCTGTTACTACTGATAGAAGTGATAAACCATTCCCTATGTTACATATTCTATATACGTATATCAAATGTGAATTGTTTCATTTTTTGTTTTCTGTGCTTTCTAGTCATTTTTTCATGTTATACTGACGTTATCTTAGTTGTATGATGGGCTAAAGGAATTTACATTTTCGTTGATTTTCGACTATACGAGTCTGTTTACACAGGTACTAAAGTCTGTGGGTGTCCTCTAGTACTAATAACACTTGCACGTTTAACAACTTAGTGAATATATGAAAGAAAGCAGTGAAAAGTAGAGGAAAATCATAAAAATAGCACAAAAAGAAATAAAGCAGTGGTTAAAGTCATTATTACGATTAAGGTGAAGACAAGGCATAAGTGCATTTGCGCTACTGGCATCGATTCTCAGACATATCGCCTAGAATCACCAACTATCGATTTTGGTTGCAGACAGACCCAATACGGAAGTTTACATTACCCTATTCAGCTCAAACTAACAATTAAAGACTTCATACACCGATGCTATGTTTTAGTCCAATCGTTCCTAATGTTTTTCCCTCCTAAACCTACTTCAACCACGATTACACGATGAGACAGACTGCGACTAGACACGCGTAACCTATGTCTCACCTAATACTTTATGACTGACTTCTGTATTACTGACGAGCTGGTTCCACAGCGCAGCCTATGCTGCGGAGGCATGTTGATCGGACAACTGATGCATTCTTGTATCTTCTACCTTCAATAGCCATGATTCACAGCCATATAGTGGAACAATAGGAATTGCAGAGCAGTACGTTTGACCTTCACTAGGCATTTGAAATCTAATTGTCTTAAATTATATATATATATATATATATATATATATATATATATATATATATATAAATCCCCTTTATGAATCTAGATGACATAAGTGGAATTAATTTATCTGACAAATGTGATGATGCATTTCTAACAGTCTGATCACACATTTATTTGTTAAGACATTCTACATAAGCACTAAAAACGTGGGGGGGGGGGAAGGAAAGGACACATTTTACATTAAGTAGTTTAATAATAAAAAAGGTTCTGAAGAGAGAATAGTAAATTTTGAAGACAACCTTGTTATGACGATGAGAAAAGTGCTACCAGGATGGGTCTAGTGTAAGAGCAACCTAATTTTGAACATACAAGACGTCTTTGTTAGGCAATCAGATATCATAACAGAGCCGAGCATAGTGTTTGTGAAAGCTAGGCAAACCTTTTGTATCAATGTAAAGACTTCGTTGGTCACTGACCCACCAGCACTGATCCGATATCCTAAGTGGATGAAATCATCAACCCACTCGACCACTTCACTTCCTATCGTTAAACAAGGTGTCAGCGAAGGCCAGTCATACAGCAACAAATTGCATTCAGGCGGTTAGAAATGCATCTCAAACTGCCGCTCACAATGTTCAGAAGGCTTCAACTAGTTAGCGTACTCACCTTACAGAACTGTTATCTGTGTACTTTATGTCGACTAAGGAGTTTTTGGTGACTAGGTCTATCTAGGTAAGAATTGGCGATAAAAGGGAGTCCTCTATAAGCAAGTTGATTATGAAACCAAATAAAATTAGATACTCTAGATGGTCATTGTTCGAAGTACACTACGTCATTGACACCTCACCATAGGCTCTAGTACGAAGATGGCTGTTTGAATACAGCTACTTCAACAAGGAGTTGTAGTTATTGGCATCCGTTTACCATCGAAGCAAAAGGTGAATCGTAGAGGGATAATTTATCATGACAATTTTTACATTCCTGATAAAATATAATCTCCCATTGAAATATCAATTAGCATAATATGTTTGATTTCATCTATTTCGTCTTGCTACCGATACCGCCATATCGTCTTTTGCACTTCTCTGGTCAGAATATTTATTCATCGCCCGTAATTGCCCATGGCTTCTTCCGACTTCTCAACATGTGCTACTTATATGTACTCTTATCAGTAGCACCCACTACACCGTAATTCCTTTAGATTGACAGACCTGAACGCCGCCTTCAAGTCAAGAAACAGCTAGCGTCGGGTTCCGGTAAGTGTGTCGGGACCTGTAGAGGGTAGACATTTGGTCGATATGCGCACAACTCAGTTTGAAACTTGCCTGGTTTTCTCGGGTTCGCTGTTCTCTAGCTTCACTTTAACGCATAGTGATTGTGAAACCTAGAAACGTTCAGAGATGTCTTTGCACTGGAAACGGTGTAACAATTGCAGTTCTTCAGTGTCTTATGAGCTGATATTGTTCTACTCAAATCAACGTATGGTCACTGTTGAAGCGCGTTCTCTAGAAGAACTGGTCATATTTCACCTCTCTTCAGCGATTGCCTTTAACAATATGGTTTAGGTGTTTCCACTGTTGAGTTAAGGTCGCTTTTCATGTCTGATATTTGTGCTGGCAGAAATATGTAGTTGTCTGAGCACGTTTGTATCAGACGTACACTATTATCCGTTCGTTCCACCTATTTGATTGTCTGCCTGGTCTAACCTGCTCATTTATGTTTTGAAATCATAGGCTAAGATAGCCGTATCTGAACGCTCCGATTTCAGCGGGAGACTAGACACTTTTAATAGAGTTCATCTTTCAGTCTACTCTAACGTTAGTCAGTGTATGCTTAATCAGGAATTACAAACAAACATACACTTAACCACCTCCTATCTCTTTGTGCTATGTGAACTGAACTAGAAAAAGTTGATAAGTAATATTATAAGGTTGTCCAGACCAAGAAGTGGCACCAGTTCATGAAGTCGTTGACTATCGGCCTGAGGCTTGTTGGAGGTGTTGTTTACGCGTTTAGAATCGCCAAGATAGTTGAAGTCGTTAGTTGGGAACCCTTGTTATAGCCCAATATTTTTGATAATGGTTCAGATGCGGACGCTGTTTGTTATGTATTAAGTCCTGAATATTCCGTTGGCCGTCATCAGTTTGTTCTATTAGCTCTAATACACTTTTGTTTGCCGTGTTTTCCTTTTTATTCATCTTTCCTTTGCATTATAATGTGTGGGGCAGCTTGGACTGGTGCATTTCTGTGCTGGGTTCTGAATTGATTTTTCGATGTTAGTTGAACACTGTTACAGCATTGTGACACCTACCTATCTATCATGTCACATGTAACCCTATCTAGCGGTTGATACCATTGAGAGCAAATGTCCTTGTGTTTTCTATTTTGTATTTATGACCAGCGGTTCTTAGGTTATCCGCCGGGATTACTTTTAGGTAAATTTATGCATAAATGCAAATACGTTGTATACTAAAGTTGGTGTTCTAAATGGTTTTCACTAGCCTAACTGTTGTTGTAAACTTGATAAATTTGGTAAACTCAGTGTATATGCTATTTCAGTAATTGTAAGGGGTTATTGAAGTGTAGTCCATCAGTGATATCAGTAGTTGATTTGTCCTGAATGAATGAGGTTCAATTCATCCATAAATAGTTCAGATGCCGCAAGAACCATTTGTTGATTAGTGACTTTATGTCTTTTGTTGTAGTGCAGTACTGGCACTTAAATCTTCATGGTAAAACCCAGCAGTCTTACAGTATATGACCAACTTAGTCTGGTCCTCTCGAAGGATTGAGTGACTTGCTTCTAGTACCTTAACGCAAATGTACTTTGGAACAAGTCGGGTAAGTTGACATTTTTCTTTATTATCAGTAGGTCTAATCATGCAATATTTAACAACTTTAGTTGTATCTACTTAATGGCTCATGACAGTAACTTATACACATCAATATCAGAAATATTAGTATCGTATGATTTTGGCTGAACGGTTTTCAATAAAAACCCACTCGGCATCTCAATCTGTTAATAGAAACAATATATTTGTGAAAAAGGCCATATTCGCTTTGGGGTGCATTCATTTTAGAGTTTGATTCAACATGAGTTTCTGTACTTTGGGTTGCGAGCAGAATAGCTTTAAAATGTGTTGCTTTTGTGAAAACTAACTCACGCAGTACTGAGGTTTGTATTCGCATGTCAACAACTGTTTCATCAATGCTTCAAAGATATGTTGATGCATTGGGGCCTCATCAATGTGTATTTACAAGTTTACTTGCTCGTGTGAAGCCTAGTACATCGCCCTAACCGTTCAAAAAAGGTGAGGATTAAACACATATGCAACCATAACCTTATCAGTTCACAGCTCCAAACCTCAGTTGTGTATTCCAAAGAAACATGTACAAACACTCTTCACTGCAGCCTTAATCGGCTACTCTGCACGTCTTTTCATGTTTTATTCTGTACCTAATTTATATATTTTTTATTATCTGTGTATTTTTTCCAAATCTTACTGTTCACTGCATCATACAGAAACTATTGAGATCACATGTCGTGTTACATAATACCATTTCATTCCCTACATCTTTGACCGGAAGCTTGCCTGGAACATTCTATCATTTTGCTTATATGTTTACGAACTTAGAGTTGTGGCAAAAGAAAATTATCTTCTCTGTAACCTCTTTTTTGTTTTTCAATGACCAAATGAGGAATTTTCTTAATCTGCAGTGTCAAGCTTCATTTTGTATGGTCCACTGGGTGGCAACTTTGCCTTGGTATTCAGAGAAGTTTATCTTAATTGTTGAATGAGAGGAAAATTTAAAAAAGAACCCCTCACTACGTTGTTTATATGTGCGACTTATTCGTTTCGTATGTATAAGATAAGGTCTTCGTCAACTGATCTAAAAAATATCAAAAACTATATCAAGTGATATACCATTTTAGTGACTACCTGGGTTTGAATCTCACAGAGGACATCAGTTCCCTTGAGGTTGGATGTATGTCTTGCTGACGAGTGCCAACAAGCACGAAATGTAACTCCAAGAGTACCAGATCACTGTTTTAAAGCAACTAACAATATCCTAGTTTTAAATTCCTGTATCATAGATGTAAATAGTTTCGGCACGAGCACATAGTTAAACATTAATTCTGTTAATTTAATAGGGTATATAATGAAAAAAGTTAGAACGGTAATATTTCAAGCAGGTTAAGACTTAGGTGTGGTGTTGCTAAAGAGAGTAGACCTTACATGAATAGCTTGTGTACTTATTGCGTAATATATGACATCCATCTTGATTTTGGATATTAACTTAATATAAGCTAACCGATAAATGGCTACACTCGGCTTTTGGGTTGTAGTCTTAAGACAAACAGTATACATGAAGATTACAG